AATATGTTCACCAGTTGCACTTAAACGAACTATAAATCTTACATCACCACAGTTTCGGCTGCTTAGGTGAGTTGATGATACGACTATTTGCCTTGTTTACTGCTATCACCGTATCACTGATCCATGAAGATGACTAGCTAAGTTTCCTGTTTCGGGCCAATACACAAATTTTCTTAGTTTTGTTCCTCTATAATACAAAATTAACCTGGTTATGATACTTCACCATAGGATCATGACCATATGCCTTCTAGTTTCGGTTAAAGACGAAACAAAGGCAATGCACACGATCCTGAAAGAAAATGGATATCCGGAAAAATTATAAATTAACATATAACCAATGAAGGAGAGCATAAGGAACACCCAACAGTGGACAAAAAGCCCCTGTTTATTTGCTTACGATTCAGAGGAGATGCGCATAATGAAATGCTGAGAATAAGGTTAAACAGATCGATCCAATGAACTTTTAATAATAATAATAATAATTTATTCTCAAATAACAGATTGTTACATGAGGCATGCCGGTTTACAGGCAAGATCAAATTGTTAAAGAAGTTACAATTTTCATTGTTGAAAATTACTCGGCTGGGTTGATATTTCATAAGATATGAATGTAAATGGATTTCGTAAGAAACATGTCAATATCACACTTGGCGCACTTTATGGAGGTAGCGTTGCAACATATAACTGGTGGTCGAGAATAGATACATGCGAAGTTGGGGGCTTTTAGAAGTTTCGAACTTATGCAGGTAAACTACAATCAATGTTTTCCACACGTCCAATGATCACTCCGGAATCGAAAGATAAAATCCTAGACTAGCCACTTCTTTTTGTGTCTATCAATTCAAGTGCTCCTGTGGAGAAAGTTTTATTGGCAGATATTCTAGCAGATATTCGGGCTGTTGAGCACTTCCAAGCGCGTTTAAGCAAAGATGTAGTTAAGACTGTCAATAGCTTCATTTCAGCTCGTGTAATTGAAACGGAACATACAGACAACATGAAGCAGTCTGTCAAAATAATATAGCGTGTTAATAGCAGTTTACTCAACTTTGTCAGATTAAGAATCCCTCAGACGGCTGAAGTAATTACTATTCGGATCAAAAAGCCAGGGCTTTGTATCCAAAAGCAATGTGTTCAGCTGCTTCTTTTACCCTGACCAACTTCGTCCCCAACTAGTTAATAATCAGTTTTATGATATGGTGGCGCAATTTGACTAATGTTCATTTTTATATCCGAAACTTATCAACACATCTTACAAATTCTCATTATTATTAGTTCACTTGTTAACCATTTTGAGAAATTTATTCATCATCCGTTCCAACCTACTAATTATTGCTTAATCTGTAATATTCCACATATTACGTGATCTTTGATTTGTAATTACATTATTCTCTACCTCACCCCATGCTGACCGTATTTATTCTGATCATCTGCCACACAATTTCATCTCATTTATAAACTGATTCAAGCCAACACTTCATACTAGTCACCCCAACATTAATTATTTGATTTCATATGACCAACAATGCCTGATCCCCATATCACAATTTTAAATGAAATACTTTGCCTTAAACCTGATCAATTTTATGGATCATTATTTTGGATGTATAATTATCGAATTTGATTAGAAATTATTGAAAAGAAACTTCTATATTATTTATTATCATCCCTGATTCCCTTTTTATCCTTACACGTCGTTCCTTTCACACCGTCTGCATCACCACTTCATTAACTTATCTATCTACTTGGTTCATGAAACAACCATCTTCTCTTAGCATTCGAATTTTGTTAATTTTGTTAACTAACAGACTCCTTGTCCGGTAATGTGGTAGTTGTTGGCACCCGTGAACCCTACAGCCCTGAGACGAACTCACTGAGATAATATGAAAAAACTTCTTTTATACATATTTAAGTTGGATTTCCAGTCTCAGAAAAATATACTTTATAACCTTTAGTGTTCAGTGTCTATCACGTTTGGGGCTTCCGAAAAACTTATTCTAAGGGCCAGTCTTTTCGTTCCTACCATTGTTATCTTTTTTCCACTTTTAAAGGGACTATTTTTGTTGTTCCTTCTGTGAGCTTACTCAACAAATTTAAAAACACAAACAAAACATCGTCATAGTAGACCCAAATGGTTTTTTCCAACCGACAATGGAATAAAACGCGATGGCTGTAATAGTTGCCACCACAACGTGTGTATCAGACTCACACCGGCTGCAGATAAGAGATGCCGCAAACCGCTATCATTTCGGCTGAACAAAGTATGTTGCTCTACACAGTCTTTGCTGAGTCACTGAGTGACTGGCCTGCTAAATACAGCTAGAAAAATGGCCTCGGACAAATGGTTAGCAGCAAAGGAGCAGCCGTCAGATTTCAATGAAGTAACAAGCGTCATAAGGGGTCCAGCTTCAGATCTGAATGAAATCATCAGGGTGTTTTCCTGCAACGTAGTTCATGAAAAATACACAGATGTGGGCATGGTCACATTCAAAAAAAAATACAGATAGCTCTAAAATATGCGAATTGACGGTTTCATCTGCTGAAACCAAACAGATACCTATATCAATGTAAAGCAGACTCTGAAAGTGCAAAGTCTGAACTTTGTAGATGATTCGAGCAGGAAACAAAGTGAATGAGATGATCAACTCACAGTAACACGTAAAAAATTAAGGAAAAACAGTTACACCACGACCAAAATCCTAACACAATTTTGCCGGGATTAGATCTGGTGTGTATCGTGGACGCAATACCCGTTTGGAAAATATTCTGATGAAAACACATTATATCTGAACGAATGAACTGCTATCAATTTTTATAGATTATATTTACTAAACAACCCTGCTTGGGATGTATACTGTGAACCAGCATATGTTGTAATTTGTAGAACATGCCTGTAAAAAGGCGTGTAATAATAATAATATATTTCTGCAAGAGCAGGTACACGCCATTTTTACAGGCATGATCTACACGTAACAACATATACTAGGGGACTCGACTAGGGCATTGCATAGCGTGAGAGATAGTAAGGTTAACCTGACCTTAAAATGTCGGTTTTTTAGATATGAAGTTAGCCAGCCAATTAGAAGTGGTTTGATACCCAATCGTTTGAGCTTATTGATAAGACATATATGATTGATCCTATCAAATGCTTCTGAGAAATCAAGATAAATGATGTCTACCTTCCCCTTGCTTTCAAGGATGGTTGTCCATCTATCCACCGAAGTCAGCAGGTTGGTTATACAAGAGTGACCCTTCCTGAGACCACGCTGTTGAGGTGAGAAGAAGTTTAAAGATAATAAATAGTCATGTATACCACCATATTATCAGGGACTACATCGTTTATGAAGGTATAAAGAGAGAGAAGGGATACTGGTCGGTAGCCCGAGGGTTCGTTGCGTCGAACTCCTTTGAGAAGCTGCGTAACACAGTAAGCTTTTCGGATTGGAGACAAATTTATCGATTAGCTTGATCTGGTACTGAACCCTATCTTCTCTTATTGCCTTTGCGCATATGTTCTTCATACGTTTGTATTGCATGGTTTCAATTTGAAACGCGTCAGCTTCTCCTCCCTGTTTATCTGTATGAGCGCTGCGTCAACGTACAGGTAGCCTACCTATACAAGGTTTTCCGAGTTGATAGTCCCAGTCCTATACACGTTCTTTTAATGATCAAGACAGTCCACAAGTAGGATGGTCAGCTCCAACTTACCTTTGTGCTTGGTCCTGGCGTTATACGGACTATCCGGATGTATGTGGATTCAACGTTGGTAAGTGCCATTTGTTGACACGAAGTGCTTCCAGAGTTGTAGCCGCAATATGGAGGGATGAGAATGTTTCGTCAAATGTTGCGTCAGAATGTTTTTGAGCTTCAACTATTGCTTGATGAATTTCCATTCCCTTATATCAGAGTTTGTTCGACCAGGGTTTGTGTTTTCCGGTACACTTTGCACAATGATATTTCTTCCTTGAAATAACTTCTCGCGAGGTTCCTTAGGGATGTCCCGGATGAGATTGCGCTCAGAATACGGTATGTCAGGCAGTATTCTTACATTCTCATTAAATTTCAGTAGGTGACTTGTCAGTAGGATATTCTCTACGTCGGTAGCATTAGTGAGTGTTGCGTGAAGGGGTCTCGGGTGATTTTGATGCTTAGAGTCCTTTATCCGAGTCAGCCGTGTGACCATCAAAGACTCTATTCTGAGAGAATCAGCTTCCTGTTTAACTCTCCTCAGAGCATCCTGTCATTTTTATCCTGCATCTATGCTGGGTAACCCATGTCTGCTGAGGGAGTTAATTACCATCGACGTTATGATGGCGATGAGTTTAAGCACTTCATCAGTAGTGTTATTACATTGTCCATCGACAGTAACGCTGTGTCTCTTCTCATTTTCATTGCACGTCCTTGTTTGTCTACTCGTTTTGTGACTGTCTTTTTTCAAGTTAGCTGACAAATTATGTCACAGGCCTGCCAATAGGACCGTAATGTTACTCAGCAAAACTTTAGCATCCGTGTTGTACGTGACACATACCCACCTATGATGCGATTACTGAGTCTGTTTTAAGCAGTTGCTGTTAGGTTTGTGCACGCTTCGTGGAACCAAGTTTTTCAGTTGTCTCATTGCATGCCAGATGCAACAACAAGACAGCATCCAGGTCACGACTATATTGACGTAAACTGTTCTTTGGATGCTAGCAAAAGCCTAAGACCGTAAAAAGCAGTACACTGAAAACGGGAAAAAAGATAAAAACGGGTTACGATAAACTGAAACTGGCTTCTACATGAAAAACTGAAAAGCCGATTAGTAAGCTGAGGTAAATTCACAATTAACTATTAAGTTGAGTGAAACTACAAAAATAATATGCCGAACGTATAGCTCAGAATAGATTCTTTAGGTCAGAAATGGTACTTTTGTTGCGTAAGAACACAGAAAAAGTTTAAGAAACGCAAATCACGTTAGCACTAGACTTCTCGTTAGAAAAGCGCGCCTAACAATAACTACTAAACTGACTGGAGTTGCTAGCTGCAGAAACTGTAGATTGTTAGACACCTGAAACCGTAATGAAATAATAATAAGCTCATCACAAATATATTGGATACTGGAAATTTGGAGTGTTGGTAACTGGCAATATTTTAAACAAGTTAGCAACGGTAAGATGGGATCCACTATGATTCAAGAACTAGCAAATTGTTGGTTAGTTGGACCAATATATTTATTTGGCAAGTTTCAGTTAGTTGGACAATAGGGGAGCAAGGAATTCATGCGTATCTCATAGAAGTATTCCCACTAACTTCTATATAAGTTGGAATATAAAGAGAAACTTTGCAGAAATTCTGAAGATCCAAAAAATCTAGTGCAAATATAGGCGAATATGCATCAAATTTTCTGCTTTTTCCCCGGCCCGGGGATATAGTGCAAGTTTTTCCCGCGATTCCTCCCATGGGGGGAAATGTCTCGAACTTAACGCCTATACCTTCCTCAAAATGCTTACTCTTCGCCGAAATCAACACGAAACTGTCTACTTTTCTTCGATAAAACCACATCAAACAGTCATTTTTCACAAATTTTGATGCTTTAGTTGACAACAGTTTGTATACTTAGGAAGTTCTCAACCAAATCATCTGCCCACACGACATTAATCGAATTGCTGGTTTACATTAGAACTATTTGTCTAAAAATTTCTACATAACTGTTTGTTGAAAATAATTAGATTCGGGTGACAATTAAAGGTTAACGTTGTAATTGACAGAAATTTGACAAATGTTTCCTCAAAGCTGGGAGATCGGGTATATATTCATTGAGAAGGCTTCTCAGCTCAAATAGAATATTGATGTACGCTAACGTTTGCCTTCCTTATCTGTTTTGTTCCAATGTAATCAACAGAAGAAAGAATGTTGTAATAGGTTTGGAAAAAAATTGAATAACAAAGAATGATCCAACCAAAGGAATCTACCGCAAAGCAGAGTAGTTAGTGAGGAGCAACGCTTTAGTCACTTGAATTATGAAGTAGTGCAATAACCAACATTTATGGGTGTTTTTTTTGATAACGCTTAATACAAATTTGTTATAAAACACGTTAAGAATCCCAGTAATATTGTAAAGAACGGATGCAGGTGTTTAAAAAAGGAAAGAAAAGGTCAACTGGCATTTGATCAATTTGGACACTGCAGCTCATCATTGTGCTTTTATGTGTTGAAAGTTCATTGGAGGTTACAAAAGGGGTTATGCATAAACTTAGAAATATTTTACTACCATTAAAACTTGTTCATTCTCAATTTTCGCTAGTTTACCACGGTTTTATCAAACGTTATAGCGCTTAATCTTGAAAATTTGAATATACAGACGGTGATGAACTACTTAAATATTACTTAGCAATTGTTTAATGAGCAGTTGAAACATCCAGAAAGGCTAAATAAAATTATATGTATGCCTTCTAATAAACTGTGCTTGCAGTAGATACTGATGTAGTATTAACTTTAGAGTATTTAAACAGTTTTGGTGCTTAAAGAATGACTTATTATGGATCTTTTTATTAGTTTCCTGACAATAACATACTGTTTATTTGCTGGGTAAAACTAGTAAGGTCCTGCTTTTTTATGAATTATATATTTGTTTGTGTAGCCAAGACCGACGATCTTCAGGTGTAGGTTGTGTCAAAAGACCAAAGCCGAATATTCCTGAGTTTAACAACCGGTTGTTGAGAATTTTTCAAAATATTTCGAAAGATTGTACCTACTGTTTAACGATCTAAATAGAAATGTGCTCGTTGAGAAGAATAACCGATCTCAACCATTCTATCGCTCAAACAATCTATGAGCCGGATGTCTATGGTTTCATGTCCATAGTGCATTTATAATGTAAGTTGGTTGATCTTGGACACCTCTGAAGACTAGTAGCCCATTGGTTTCGCTTTATTACATGATCTGGTAATAAAGGGTGTGGTTGTTTCAAATGGGAGTGGGTTATCGCTTGAAGATGGATGTTGGCAGTGGCCAAATATATTCGTCATTCTAAACGCATAGTACTTTTTACTTGAATGGATCATAATGTGTTGAGGTAGTTGAAAAAACTTGATTACTAAGAACGAATTACACAATGGCAGTATAACGTCTACATATCTGGATAAAAACACTAAAATACTGCTTTATCCCGAAAAACATCCGTAATGTCATTGGTTAACGCATTACTGTTTGAATGTATAAGACAAACGTAGTGAGTTAATAGTCTAGCGACGTACTTGAAGATACCAATTGTGTATAATGAGCTAAAACATTCAAGTACCCAAATGGGATGAATCAGGACGCAAGATGCAAGCTGTAAAGACAGTATTTGGTTCAAATAGAGGCTCTTGGTACTGGTAGATGTCCTACCACATCTTATTTACGGACCATTTTCTCCAATCTGTTGGTATTTTCACAAGTGTTTCATTGTAGGTATCATGATTTTGGAAGGTATCAATCGTAAATGCTATTAGATCGGAAAAGCGAACAGCACTTATATCAATGCTTAAAAGACATTCTTTATTATAAGAAACCCGAAATGTTAATCACTTTCACTTTTGATAGATACAAAATTCCGTTTTCAAAATAATTTGATGATTATTAATATAATTTGGCTATCTCATTAAACCAGTCTTGAAACTAAGTTTATTTTAGTTACTCTTTTCAATTGTAAGAGGTAGTATGAATCTGTGATTATGGAGAATAGACAATCGGACAGGGACTAAGATAGTGCTTAAACTCTGGTTTGTACGGTGAATGATGTAGCATATATATAACCAAACTTGGGTTTTAATTTGATTTTATGAGAATTATTTCAAGTCCAAAGAATATAGAAAATGTGAACAGTTGTTTATTATCTCAGTAATAAGGAATACCTAAACGTGTAGAACATTATTAAAAGGATCCGTTTAGTGAAATTGGACTAAATCACGAAACTTGGTCCTAAACTAGTATTTGCTCGGATGTTGTGCTTGCATCCACTCTCCAAATGGACATACTCAATATTCGCTTTAGATAAGAAAGAATATCAATTTTCTAGAAAATTGTTACTACTGAAGATGAACCCGAATTCATTCATAATATAAGAGGTTGATATAAGGCTTTAGGGTAATATGTCAGAATGCCGAGACTGAGATCACTTATAAGAAAGTAAACAGGAAAAATACTGTGATAAGATGAGGGATGACTCACCCTTTCAACTGAAAGGGAGAAGTTGGATTAAAATAAAAATCCTAGCAACAAGAGCAGTTTATAAGTCACTTAGGAAATGAACGGTCACAAATAGAGCAACAATGATTTCGACAGAATTTGGAGGTCGAGTAAAGGAAATTGTGTTAGACCATAATAATCTAGTACATGTGATTGAAATCCACATATTGCTCAGAATGCTCTTTAATATATTAAGGTTTTGATACCAATCATTCCTAATGGACTTTCACTTACATTCTTGTTTGCTATTGGTTCAAGTTGTCAAAAGGAAAAGAAAATACTTCCTCGTCCCATATTCTGTTTCTTCTGTTAGTTTCTATATGTAGAAATAGTCATCTCATTTTATGTTTCTAACGATTTGTCTTTACCGTAAGAAAGAAACGTAAATATTCTAGTCTGCTGTAGTAGCCATTACGATCGTCAAAAACACTTAAAAAAGAAAGGAAAGCTATTTTATTGAGTGAATCTTAAAGCGGTGAATGACTTAAAATAAAAAAATATGTGCACTGATCGTGATGTGTGACTGAGTAGTTGGCGTTTAGTTAGAAAACAAAGTTAAAAATCTCTCCTCGTCTTATTTAATCCGAAAGTACTTCCAAATAAATAAATTTTTGTGTTTAAAACTACACTAAAAACTCTCATTATGTAGAATACAACAATTAATACAAACAAAAATTTTGTTTTCAGTTGGAGGTAGACAAAACCGTCGATGGACAGCTCTGTTTTGCCATACTTGATCATCATTTTCGTGTGACAGATATGACTCAATCATACCAAACGATCCATCGAATACCTTCACGTTCTTTCAGTGGGTTTTAATCTCATCTCTCAGAAATTATGGAAATCTGAGTTAGTAACCCCATTCTATCATTTAGTAAATGTTTATAATACTCCTGTCTCTTCCTTGGTTGCAGAAAGATTATAATAATTCTACATACATTGTTCACTTTTCTCATCCTTTTGTATCTCTTACTTATTACCTGTTTAATTAGGCTGATTACTCACACTTGATTACATAATTCTCACGACAATCATTTTTATGAGTTTATGTTCTCAGGTTGTAGTATTTATTCATGCTACTTCTGTTAATCTTCACCACTGCTAGCGTACTAACAATTTTATCACCAATTTTACTCTTTTTTTAACTATGAGCAGTTGTGTAATCCACCTCGTTATCGTCTCTGACTTATAAATTTCCTTGACCGATCTATTCTTCGTATATGTGTATAAATATTGCTGTAAGTGGAAATAGAGCTTGATGAAAATCTAATTGAAAAAAGTATTGCTCGCCTACATGTTTAACGATAATTTTATTTGATAAACAAGTCACTATCAAAACTATGACTTTTATCTAATCTTAATAAACCTGTAACACATGACTACATATTGTTAAATAATCGTGTTTTCTGATCTAACTTTTAGTTCAGTTGCGTAAACTGAATATTGCTATTCATTACTCTAAAGTAGATGTAGTTTATAGTAAACTCTGTGGATTTTACCAAATAAATTGTTGACTTTATTTGTACTGCAACTCAATAATTACACAACCTCAAGTGATTTTAGCGCTCTCTGTGATAAGACTAAAGTAAGATATAATTTGTAATAATCTTATGAAAAATGATTGATCTAGACTCAATCAATTTTGCAAAAATTACGATGCAAATAAACAGTAATATCTTTGCTTCGGGATTTGAAATCTCCATTCCCGTTTGTGATCTAATTCTTATCATCATTTGGTGGGTGAGAATGTTAACTTGTCTCCGCTGGTGAGTCGTTTTGCTGATGAAATAAAAATGCGACCGTTTGACAACTAGAAAATCATACTTTCGTAAAAGAGCAACGTATTCAGCGGTGGTGTGGGATTTTGAGAACGAATCAGAATACAATGTTCACCTAGTCGACACTAAGTTCCACACAAACTGAATTTATTGATGTAGACGTTTCTTTCGTCTTCTGCATAGCTTTAAATAGACATTTGTAAACATATTAAGTTCTTAAATTGCACTGAAAAATGAAAACACGTTTATGGACACATTATCTTCAATGAGCTATCTTACATATTTTGGTTGAACGTAACATATTTAGAGCTTTCCAAAGATTTAATACATTTAATAAGTTACTTCTTTTTCTTATTGGTAGGATGTTTATTTACTACTCTTATAATGATTCCTCAATTATACTTCAGAACCTTTAGAAGCATCCAGAACACTTTCGTCACCGAATAAGAAAATATAAATATCATATTAGTGTCACAAACTGCATAATTTCCAAATTAGGTTGATAATCAGTACCAAAGAATTCTACATGGCACCAGGTAATCTAGAGATTTTTAGTAATCTATCACTGTGCTGCTTTTTATAGGTCCTGAAATTTCAAACTCTTTAGAACAATGGAATACCGATTTGGGAAAAAGTGCGATTTTACAATACGGAGTTGAACTCATCAGTAATACTATAAAAGCTGAATTAGTTCCGCAACTGCTTCTGGATTCTATAAAGGAAATTTATCAAGATATAAATTCTAATCTTTCAAATTTAGATGCTATCACTTTTAACGAAGTAATAGCCAAACATTTTTACTGATCTAAATACATATTTGATTGTCTTAATTATGTTAGAAATGTTCAGCTTAATGTTTGAATTCTTCAAATACGTAAAATATGTCTCAATAATTAGACGAAATGTTATTTCTTAAGTAATAAACTATCTATTGGATATATATATATATATATATATATATGTTCCTGACATAACTAATCTCTTGTATACTACTCGTGATCTGGATTTCCAGTTACTGAAAGCTTGTATAACTAAGGGTGAATTGCAACTAAGTTCATAAAATGCAGGCTATAATCGGCATAGTAAAACTGAACAGTTTCTACAACAGTAATATTGACTGACAACAGGTTTAAATTGTCACAGAAGAAAGGTTCCGCGTTCTGTAGCCACTCTGGCAGATATAATAAATTGTCTTATTTTTTTAGGTCATTATTTTTCGATAATCTAAAAAAAATTCTAGCAGATAAGGTTATTAATTACATAAACAGACGAAATTAGTCGAGCTTAACAATAATTATTTGAAGAACCCAATCAGGTAAGTGTTTCACGAGCCAAGATTTAAAAAGTATCCAAATTACTTTAAAAAAGCGAATCAAACATATCAGTGACTTTCATAATTTAAACAGATGAATGTCTATAAACTGGAAATCTGTATACTAAGTTATGTTTAAAAAGAGTAGAACAACAGAAGTACTGATGAGAAATCTACTATCCACATTTTTATTGTTGACAAATCAGTTAAGCAGAATAACTGAAAAATCTTTGAAATACGTTTAATTGTAAAAATATTTATGGGACAGCATTATCAAAATTATTGTGACAAAGCTATAGTTAGCAAAGATGGATGACGACTAACAGTGGGATCCGGGACGTGCGTTTCGTCCCACTTGGGACTCGTCAGTTGGATGGAATTGAAACTTGGAGTTGATTTTCACTCCGGGATTCACATGTGTAAATAAGAAAATGATCGATCGCAGTCCTAAAAATCAATGGTAAGATGAAAACCAACAATACAAGATAAATTTGAAGCTATAGTTATTTGCTACTTCTAAGGTTCCAGAAGTCTTTCTTTGTCACTTTGCGAACCGAATTCAACTCGTTTCAGTAGTAGTGTATATGCATGTAATTTATTACTACATGAAACCTCTTTTTGAATGTCAGCAGTCGTAACTCAAACATTTCCTCTTCCTTCAACGTGAACTAGAATTCCTCACTTTTAACGTTTCAGTGTGAGTAGTCAATGATACTTAATTCGTCTACTAACAATAATTTCTCAATAAAGCATGAATGTAAATATTACTTACTTACTTACTTACGCCTGTTACCCCTCGTCGAGGAGCATAGGCCGCTCACCAGCATTCTCCATCCAACTCTGTCCTGAGCCTTCCTTTCCAGTTCTTTCCAGTTGCTATTCATCCTTTTCATATCGGCTTCTATTTCCCGGCGTAGTGTGTTCTTTGGCCTTCCTCTTTTCCGCTTCCCTTCCGGATTCCAAGTTAGGGATTGAGTCGTGATGCACATTGGTGATTTCCTTAATGTATGTCCGATCCACTTCCAACGTCTTTTCCTTATTTCCTCTTCAGCTGGAAGTTGGTTTGTCCTCTCCCATAAAACGCTGTTGCTGATAGTATCCGGCCAATGGATGTTGAGTATTTTGCGTAGACAACTGTTTATAAATACTTGTACCTTCCTGATGATGGCCGTAGTAGTTCTCCACGTTTCAGCTCCATACAGTAGGACTGCCTTGACGTTCGTATTGAAGATTCTGACCTTGAAATTGGTTGAGAGTTGTTTTGAGTTCCATATGTTCTGCAATTGTAGAAATGCTGCCCTTGCTTTGCCAATCCTTGCCTTTACATCTGCATCCGATCCTCCTTGTTTATCAACGATGCTCCCCAGGTACTTGAATGTTTCCACCTCTTCCAGAATTTCGCCATCAAGTGTGATTGGGTCGGTGTTCTCCGTGTTGCATTTGAGAATCTTGCTTTTTCCTTTGTGAATGTGGAGGCCTATCGATGCGGAGGCTATGAATGTAAATATATGTACATAAAAATGTGTACCACTGAATATCTTTGTTTGATAGACTAGATGGATTCACTTGTTTACTAGGATTCATTGGTTTATTTTGCGACAGATAGATGCTAAGTATGAGTGAATTATTAGTGAAAAATTATCTCTGAAAATCTTATTTTGGAAAAAAATGATTGACACTGTTTATATTATTCTTCCATGTCTTTAAACAAAACGCAGAAACTAAGAAATGGTACCACTCAACGTATTATACCCAAAGTAATCATTTCTGAATTAAATAAAGTTATTCAACCTAAAGAATTGAATCGACCAAGTAATTTACACCAACCTATTGTACAAAGATTTGGTGAGAAAGTAAATAACAAGGAAAATATTTGGTGTACAATTTTGGCAGATAGAGCTGTTAAAAATGCCTTAGCATTTGACATTCTTGAAAGTATTTTACTAGAACTAATAAAGTTTACGGTACCAAGTATTGTAAGTTAATTGCATTTTTTTGTATTCAACTTGATTTCTGCATAATCTAACAGTTTGAGTAATTAGTAATGCCGAAATAACCACATTTACTAAATTGAACTTGATTACAATAGATAATTCTAGTTATTTTATTTGACTGAATCAAAAGTGTTAAATGTATCAGGATGAAAACACTAAATAAACAAAACGATTCATCTAATGAACTTGTACGTACATATTTAATCGGTGTGTTAGTCCGTATAGAAGTAAAATGTCAGACCATGACATCGATCCGTGATTATGCGGATCATGTGAAAACGGCCGTAGACTTCGTTGAAAGTGTTGTGGTCTCTGAGCTGGATGGTTTGTTTGTTTAGACTTCATTGTTCTTCTGAACAACATCGTCATAACTCACTTCAAAGAGAAGTGAGCCATTAGAATTTCTTTGCAACTGACTAACAGCTTATTGTGTTGATCTGGTATTTGGTTGATTGTCATCCAAAACTGTGTGGTCGTTGTTTTTACATTTGTTCCTGTTTTTTACTCTCCCGACCTGAATCCTGACCTCTTCGTCTACGTTTACATGCACAACAGTTAGTTGTTAAATGACAACATAGCTTAGCATATATCAACGCATGTGGACAGCCGTGGGCATGAGTTCGACTGTGGTAACGTTGAAATATTGAACAAAGAAAACATCCAACAAACCAGAGTTTCTAAACATCTGGAATTCTAATTAGGCGCCAGTTAATAAGCACATCGAAAGCAACCATACCTGCTGAATAATAAGAAAATAGATTAGAAAATGCGAGACTGGGGTTTAGGTCAGGAGAGAAAATAACCAAAAAGAAAGAGAAAGGGGAAGAGTAGACAGACTTGTCTAACACTGGTTCTTACTTGGAATGCGTCGGCCAGCTGTCCTACATACACTACTTCGCAGTTTAGTCCGTTGTATGAATCCCGTGTGATGTTGACGATCTTCTCAGGTACACCATAATGTAGAAGAGGGTTCCATAATTTACTCCGGTACACACTATCGAATGCTTTCTCATAATCGAGGAAGATGATGTATAGTGACGAATTCCATTCAATTGATTGTTCAACGATGATCGGTAATGTCGCGATTCGGTCTGTGCACGATCGATCCTTACGGAATCCATCCTGTTATTCTCGAAGTTGGTCGTCTACATAGTGCTTCATTCAGTTCAGCGATACAGTCTGTTGAGAACTTTCTCTGGAACTGATATTAGTGTGGTGTCTCTGTAGTTTCCACAATTTGCACGGATCTCCATTATTTGGTATCCTGATGAGGTGTACTTCTTTCTAGTTTGTCTGTCGTCACTTGTTCCTTAGTACTTCGGCTGGTATATTGTCGTGTCCTGCTGCTTTCCCACTCTTCATTTGTCTGATGGTCATCTTGACTTCCTCGATCGTTGGTGGAGTGACATCTATAGGAATGTCTGTGTGAGCTGCCTCGATGTCTAGTGCATTCAATGGAGCTGGTCTGTTCAAAAGTTCCTCGATATGTTCTACTCATCGGTTCTTCAGTTCTTGAATCTCAGTGAGTTTCTTTCCTTCTTTGTCCTTGACTGATTTTCTCTGGTTTAGTACATTTCCCTGCTAGTGTCTTCGTTGTGTCATATAGTTGTTTCATATTCTTTTCTCTTGCAGCTCTTTCCGCCGTCGTTGCTAGTTTTCACATGTATTTATGCTTGTCGATTCTGATGCTCTTCTTCACTTGCTTGTTTTCTTTAGTGTATTCAGCATGTGCGTTGACTTCCTCTGTTCGTGTTTGGCTGTTGTTAATCTCTGTCTTCCTGTTCTTCCTTTCTTGAATCCTGACCTGAGTTTCGATAAAGATCCATTCCTTATGATGATGTTTCTTGCTACCCAGAACCTCCTGACACGTTGAAGTTAGTGCTTTTTTGATTCCTTTCCAGTTGTCCTCCATCTCAGTTTCCTGTACTTTCAGTAGATCTCGTAAAGCTTGGAACCTGTTGTTGAGAGTTATCTTAAATTCGACGAGTTTGTTAGTATCTCGAAGGAAGGCTGTATTGAACACATGTGAGGCTGATTCTCCAGTTGTCCAGTGTTTCTTCAGTCTCACTTTCATCTTGGCAACCACCATTTGGTGGTGATCTGAAGCTATGTCAGCTCCTCTTCTGGTTCTCACATCTTCCATTGACCTTCGGAATTTTTGTTGATACAAATATGATCTATTTGGTTCTCTGTGGTGTGGTCCGGTGAGATCTCTGTAGCTGGCTTTGTGTATGCGTTTGTGTGAAAATAATTTGCTGCCTATAACCAATTTGTTGAATGCACATAGATTTGCAAATCTCTCCCCATTTTCATTTCTCCCTCCCAGTCCATGTCGTCCCATTATATTTTCATATCTTGTGTTGTTCTCTCCGACTTTAGCATTTAGATCTGCCATCAGGATGGTGAGGTCCTTTCTTGGGCACTTCGCTGTGATTTATTGCAGCCTCTTATAAAACTGATCGTTATCGTCGTCGTTGCTCTCAGTGATGGGTGCATAACATTGAACAGCATTCATGGTGATCCCCTTCTTCTTTGTTTTGAATGATGCTTTGATAATTCTGGATCCATGAGATTCTCATCCTACAAGTGAATCTTGTGCTTCTCTGGACAGCATCGGATCAAGTCCCTGAGTGTGTGGAGCATTTCTTCCTCGTGACCGGAGTACAGCGGCATCTCTCTCGTACCTAGCCTTTGTTATCCAGCTTGTGTCCAATGGGTTTCGCTGATTCCAAGTACTGTCAATTCGTTTCTCTCCATTTCCATTGCTATTTGACTGGTCTTCACGGTCTCCCACATTGTCCGGACGTTCCATGTACCTATAAAGAGTGTTGCTCTGGTTGTTAGAAGGGACATCAGCCTCGTGACTTCCGAAGAACCTCGGCTCTCATCCTGAAGCGTCATAGTTTTTGCTTTATCGCCCAGGGCAGAGTTTATATGTTTTGAATAATTTTTTCGAGTTAGCATTTATTTTAGCGAGTTAGTTTTCTACGGAATGGGGTCGATAACCCCATGTCCAACCCTCCTCGTTTACCCGAACTTGGGAGCGGCAGTAACTCTAGACGATATATAGGTGGGGTTTTATTGCCTATCGGTATGTATTAAAATATAAGAATTTGATCCAGTAAACTACTGTCCGACGTTCTACGTCGTCCCAACATATTTTTTCTTTGTTTAAAGATAAAAGATTGAAATTTATATAGTGACACGCTTTAATAGCCTTTTTAACTTCTCAATTCCTATTTAAACATTCCAAGCATGACATTTAGGTAAGAGATCACTTGTTAACGAATTTATTGTCAATATATATAGTGTTTAAATCCATGTATAAATATGGACTTAACAGAAACATTTTAATACTAGTTTGTGTAGTGAAAATAATAGAAATGAAAAGTTATGCAATTTCTACAGGATGTGCGCAAATGAACAAGGCTTGTAAAATTAATAGGCTAACCTTCGACCACAGTTTGGATGGAGTAAGATATTTAATAAGTTCCAGCTCCTATAATTAACATTATCTTAGAAATTTAGTTTAATTTAATTAAAGACAATGATAAGCGAATATTCTTTGTGCACTTAGCCAAGACGTCATTCTATGGCTAGGTATAGCTTCTGCTATTTTGAGGAGTTGAATGCGAAGAAATCTTGGTATATTTGGTCAGATTCTATGGATATCCTTAAAATTGACATGTGAATTAGTTGAATTATTAGAGTTCGATAAATACTCTGTAATGGGATTCCTAACAGTCACTCTCACCCTATTGGGAATGTTCTCGTATCTGTGTTAAAGCGATCGTCGGTTACGCCCTATGTGTCTCAGTTCACAGTAGTAGATATGCTGATAGGTGGATTTAGAGATGACTAGACTGAAGAGTCTATCCTTCACAGATATGGAAAGTAGATTTCATTTCTTAACTTTAATAGCAGTTTTGTTGCATAGATTTTTCTCTTTAATACTGAAGGTAAATTTTTTTTAAGTACATTTGAATTTTGGTCGGGTGGGTAGATATAGAAGGAATATAGAATGGAATTTAAGTGAACATTATCATCGCAAATGGCATACGTGTTGTCCATGTCTTTCCGTAAGATCTGAATTGTTTGATGATCGGACTATTTTGATTGTCTTCAAGCATAGACGTGAAACACTTTGGTATTCGTAGCTCTAACGGGATCCTACTTCCATCCCTTCCTTTTAATTTTATACTTCCTTTTTGGAACCTAATTAGATGTTGAAAATATGAAGTAATAATAGTCTTTTCAAAAGATTATTTTGCAAATTGAATCCTGTGTTGCGTGGGTTACTCTAGTCACAGATGTAGCGCATAGTGATCATTAGAGAGCAGAGAACTAACTCCAAGGAAGACACGAGTCTTTCAGAATTTGGAGGACACTTTTATTTAACACATCTTTCATCAGGGTAAATTATTAATTTCTTTTAAAATGAGATAGGGAATGAAAGAAATACATGAAAGTAGAGTACTTTGAAACACTTCGGAAAGGAGAAATCAAGTACATAGTCGTTTCTACTAAAAATCGTGCAAATTTATCGATGGGCTAATTTTAATAGTATCACTATAGTTGGTAAGCTCTGTCACGCTTCAGTTTAAATCCCCAGTCCCATTTTAGTTTAGATAAGATTCTGATGAATATTTTTTATGTTACAGATTAGATTGACAATGGGAGAAGAATTCGTTTTTGTCAATATTTTTGAGAAAACAATAAGTGAAACGATCAAAGAGTTGACTACCAATGAATATAATCTCCAGTATAAAATCTTGCGGATGAATCGGCTAAAAATGGTAATTCAATAATCAAATAAAATTTGATTGTTTTTAAAAGTAAAGAAATAATGTGTTTGCTTAGTTGTATTATAGAACGATTGAATTCCAAGAATTCTATAGTTGTATTGCCGTCTTAGTTTATATGCTTTCCTAGGATTTTTCTTCCCATTCAATCTCAATTTAATTTATTCAAACGCCGAAAATAATCTAGAAGTCACGTTAGGTAGTAAAAATGAGTTATATCCGTCATTACTTCCACTGAAAATTTCCGTTGGATTTCAGTAAACAAGTAAACGTCGTTTCGTGCGCTATTTCATCCTACATGTGTTATAGTTTTCTCTTTTTCCTTGTCGCCACTGTTATGTTTTCTCTTATTACGACACAGCTATCCTTATTGCTCAGTATTCTTTGACACTACTTCACTCAACTAGTCCTCAATCAGAGGTCGAACAGGAAAGTAATTATATTCTAAGATGATAATGTTGCATGGAATTAGGAATCACAATAAAGAAAACCATAGTATATTTATAATTTTTACGTAAGAAGATTCTAGAGTCTTCTACGGGGATCCTCTAGCGCTAATTGGTTAAGAAATAATTAAGCAGCTTTCCCACTACAATCCTGTACGGAACATGTTCTAATCCAATCTCTATCTCGGTAATAGCATGTGAAATCTAAATGAAGGTAGGATCCCCCTAAATAAAAAAATCGTCAACGTGATCTAATAAATCTACATTTTCTTTTACAAATATTTCCAAACAATTTGGTATTTATCAGTATAAGGTTGTACAGATTGTTGAGTTTAAATTGATATCATGAATGGATCAATGGTGGTCTGTCATGGATCCATTCATGATATCAATTTGAAAATTTGGTATCTGTTCAACTGAATTTTTTATACTTCAGTTGTTTTTTGATCAATAAATAAGAAAAAACCACGTAGTATAAGCATATGAATTAATATAAATATATATGAAGTTCTGTGGTAGAAAATGTACTTACTAAATATTTAAGAGTTCCCTAACCACAGTGTTGATCATTAAAGAGGTATATTATTACAGTACCAAGCATGAAGACTTGAAATTCTCCAAATGAGTATTGTATTGCCATAATATACATTTTTGTTAAAAATTTAGTTTCCTCAATTTAGAACCCTTGATCATTCTAAGACGTACCTTTGGTTTGAAACATTTGTATATTGTTAACTACATTCAAGAGATTTTGTTTTTACTTGTAAATTAAGCATTACTAATAGCATTGTTAGCTGTGTCAAGTAAGACTTACTTTTTGTATGTCATTCATGACAAAACCAATTACTAAACTTTAACTTCATTATTTTAATCATTAACTTACTTTAGTCCAACTAAAATTTGTACACATCCTAATATGCAGCATTCATCGGTTCTTAGGTCGGAGCCATAATGAAGACATTACAAGCAATTTATCCATCTCGCCATTGTTATTAGAATGAGTTAAAATTTTCAATAGGTATGAATAGATTTTGTTTCTTTAAATAGGTTTTTTACCTTCAGTTCCTCCTTCAGATAATTATGTAAAATTAAAAAAGTAAAACTATATGGGATATTACAATTGTATGATGTGTGACGCAATGTTTTTCAACTATATTAACTAATAAATTCATATTATCACCCAAATACTGGTAAAAACTTATTGCAGATCGGTAAGGTAGCAAGAAAAAAGCCTGGTGATGTACTTGTCTCAATGGCTATTGACTCATTGTTATCACTTTCAATCCCTGGTCCAATTACTGGTACATATACAAAGAATCCAATTGAAGAGAAACTATTAGAAAGTTAGTTAAGTATAATTTGAGGTTGTGGTTTTATCGTTTATGATTTTGAATAAATTTTGCTAGCTGAAGTTCATGTCAACGTTATGATCAATTGATATATTTCTAATTATATTTTATGGATATTATTTTATTCTAATATTTTCATATTAAACTGCCAGCCTATTATCTCTCAAGCTTAGAACATTTAATGAATATATCACAAGAATATTCTAACTTGCCTATAAATCCATATTAATGAAATAGATTCCGTTGGCCTGTGTTTAACAAACTTCAAGTTGTTTTCAACTGGTGAATGTGTCCTAAATTACTGGCATCTTTTGTCTAGATGGGCCATATGAATGCTATTCAGGAGCCTACCACACTCAATATTCTACTCGTTAACCTTTAAAACTGTTCGGAGGATATGTAAAGGGAATTAGTCTATGACATACTGGTACAAGGTAGAGATATTTAGCAAACTGAAATCTTCAAATGGAATTTCGTATTTATCGGGTGAAAATTTCAGCTTGTCTAACTTTGTTTCCTAAGTAATGGTTTTTTTACACAAATATAAACAGTTTTCATGAGAGCATCTCCTCAGTTACGTAATTCTCTCAAATGTCGTTGTTGTGAAACGAATAGAAGACCGCTTTGAAATTTATTAGGGAGAACTCAGTTAGAGATATTTTACGTTTATTAATTTAATTTGATCACATGTCAAAATGATGAACAACATTTAAGATAACAAACCTCATAATCTTCATAGTCTTCATGATTCCTTGTCTAACCTAATGCGAGAAAATACATCGTCACAGAGATGATAATTTCAGTTATTATACGAGACAGTGACTTTTATACTTAATTTTACATGAAATAACTCTGGATAGCTTTATAATGTGTTCTGCATGCATACAAATACTTTCCAACATCGAAAATTTGGTTCTTCAAGGGTATTCTACGAGAATTTACTGCCAACAAATGAAAAAGATCCTCATCATATTAAAAAAACATTTGGATCACTAATGTGTTTATATGTATAGTGCATTATAAGCTTACTTTTTGTTTTGTTTGTCAATTAGCTTTGGTTTGTGACGTATTGCTGAACCGAATTTGTTCAGTCGATGAAGCTACCAATAGAGTCCTTGAATGTTTGCCCTTGGCTACGTATCACGACATGATTAGTGAGGATATAGTGAGTACATTTAATAGATTTATTTATTAAGCTATGAATGACACTAGACTAGCAAGAAAATGTATATCTTTTTTTCTAGTTTTTACAACAATAGCTACACCTTACTGACTGAAGCAGTAAAATTTCATCTCATGTGAAACAGTATTAAAACCCCCACCATCTACGCACATTTGAAAAATTTTGGTTCAAAACATGATACAGAAATTCACAACAGGCTGAGATATTCGTTACCAGTTTAATGTAAAGTGTTTTATCAACTAATTTACTTAACTGATTTAAGTTTGATATCAATTCGTTGTGCAACGTACTATGGGTTTCACAATTGATTGATGGTGGTGATGGGTGGTGATCAATGTTATGTGTGTCAACTCCTTTTTAGTGCTGATCGAATGCTATCGATCAAGTTGCAATGTGGCCACCAGTCTAGGTGGCTCGACACTGCGTGGACTATATATATTGGGATAAGATGGTGGTTTTTTGAGGTGGTCAACAGGAAACCCTGTACCCGGGTTTCGTGCTACTTGGCACTCGTCAGCAAGGTGTACCTGTAATCCTGAGGGAACTGATGCTCCGCTTCACAGTCGGAGATGTTACCACTGAGCTATTCGGGTCGCGACCGACCTCCTGTAGGACTGAGATGTAATTACAATTGATTGATCATTGGGTGGTGATCAATGTCATGCGTGTCAAGTCCTTCTTAGTGCTGGGTTTATTTTTTACGAAGGTGAAAGTTAAATATGATTGTTACACTTTTTGTTTATTTGAAAATAGTTAGTTTTATTCTGAACCGAAACTAACTAATGAACTTCGATTACTGCATAATTTTCTAAACTTAGTTTACCCTTCAACAGTTTATCAAGATTAATAGTTAACTTAATAACTTGACTTTTAATTTATGGTGAATTGACAGGCGCATGTCTTAGATTTCAATTTTAAGACAATTCATTTATGTAATAAAAATCGTATTGAATCACTGTCTATCTACATAATAAATATTCTTTGACTATGGTACTTTAATCGATGAGATGGTTCAGGTTGGCTTGCCTAATTAGAGTTGTCAGATTTTGTCGTTGTTATGTAGTTCATCACCAGGGAGTAAAGAGATCCTAATGATTTAGGCGATTTACTAAATATAGCTCGCTTTGGAATTATTTTTGATAGCGAATTGAGATTTTATAAACCATCAAGATAAACATTTTCTATTTTCGAGGTTGATGCTAGTTACCGATTGAAATTAATTTCCAGGACATTCTTGTCATAAAAAGTTACGATATGTATATAGGAGTATTTTTCACTACTCTAAACGAATAATATTTATAAAAACGTGAAAATATCTGTTGGATTCCTATATATTGGTTTGAATCTCTTCAAATGTTGAACTAAAGCAACGTTTTATCCGGTGTGGTGCATTGATACTAAAATCGCAGACCCTAACAACTTGAACTTGTATTTCAATATTATTTAATTGTTAAGGTATCAAAAGGTAATTTGGTTACTTGACTCCCGAATATATTGTTACGACATTCAGACGTTTGATCTTACCTACTTACGCCTGTTACCCCTTATAGAGGAGCATAGGCCGACCACCAGCGTTCTTCATCCATCCCTGTCCAGTTGCTATTCATCCTTTGCATATCTGCTCCCAACACCCGACACAGTGTGCTCTTTGGTCTCCCTCATTTCCGTTTCCCTCCACGATCCCAAGATAACTCTTCTCTCGTGATGAAGTTTAGTGATTTCCGAGTATATGTCCTATCCACCTCCAATATCTTTTCCTAATTTCCTCTTCAGTTAGAAGCTGATTTGTTCTTTGCCACAGTACGCTTTGCTGATGGTATCCAGCCAACGGACATTCATTATCTTGCGTAGACAATTGTTGATAAATACTTGTACCTTCTTGATGATGCTTGTGGTAGTTCTGCAAGTTTCAGCTCCGTACAATATAACTAACTGTCTTGACGTTCTTATGGAAGATTCTCACTTTGATGTTGGCTTGCAGACAGTTGTTTTGAGTTTCATATGTTCTTCAACTATAGGAATGCGGTCCTTGCTTTGCCAATCCTCGCCTTTACACCTGCATCAGATCCTTCTTGTTCATCGATGATGCTTCCGAGGTACGTGAATGTTTCCACATCTTCCAGAGTTTCTCCATCAAGTGTGATTGGGTTGGTGTTCTCCGTGCTTTTGTTCAGGAACTTGCCTCTTCCTTTGTGTATGTTGAGGCCTATTGATGCAGACAGAGGCTACTGCTGCTGCTGCATTATTTGTCTTCGTCTGTATTTGTTCGTGTGTATGAGATAGGAGAGCTGGGTCATCTGCGAAGTTCAAATCGTCTAATTGATTATGAGATGTCTATTGTATTATGTGCTTCCCGTCAGATGTTGAGGTCTTCATATTCCAGTAAACCACAAGAAGAAAGAGAAAGGGGGAGAGTAGACAGTCTTGTCTAACACTGGTTCTTACTTGGAATGCGTCGGCCAGCTGTCCTACATACACTACTTCGCAGTTTAGTCCGTTGTATGAATCCCGTGTGATGTTGACGATCTTCTCAGGTACACCATAATGTAGAAGAGGGTTCCATAATTTACTCCGGTACACACTATCGAATGCTTTCTCATAATCGAGGAAGATGATGTATAGTGACGAATTCCATTCAATTGATTGTTCAACGATGATCGGTAATGTCGCGATTCGGTCTGTGCACGATCGATCCTTACGGAATCCATCCTGTTATTCTCGAAGTTGGTCGTCTACATAGTGCTTCATTCAGTTCAGCGATACAGTCTGTTGAGAACTTTCTCTGGAACTGATATTAGTGTGGTGTCTCTGTAGTTTCCACAATTTGCACGGATCTCCATTATTTGGTATCCTGATGAGGTGTATTTCTTTCTAGTTTGTCTGTCGTCACCTGTTCCTTAGTACTTCGGCTGGTATATTGTCGTGTCCTGCTGCTTTCCCACTCTTCATTTGTCTGATGGTCATCTTGACTTCCTCGATCGTTGGTGGAGTGACATCTATAGGAATGTCTGTGTGAGCTGCCTCGATGTCTAGTGCATTCAATGGAGCTGGTCTGTTCAAAAGTTCCTCGATATGTTCTACTCATCGGTTCTTCAGTTCTTGAATCTCAGTGAGTTTCTTTCCTTCTTTGTCCTTGACTGATTTTCTCTGGTTTAGTACATTTCCCTGCTAGTGTCTTCGTTGTGTCATATAGTTGTTTCATATTCTTTTCTCTTGCAGCTCTTTCCGCCGTCGTTGCTAGTTTTCACATGTATTTATGCTTGTCGATTCTGATGCTCTTCTTCACTTGCTTGTTTTCTTTAGTGTATTCAGCATGTGCGTTGACTTCCTCTGTTCGTGTTTGGCTGTTGTTAATCTCTGTCTTCCTGTTCTTCCTTTCTTGAATCCTGACCTGAGTTTCGATAAAGATCCATTCCTTATGATGATGTTTCTTGCTACCCAGAACCTCCTGACACGTTGAAGTTAGTGCTTTTTTGATTCCTTTCCAGTTGTCCTCCATCTCAGTTTCCTGTACTTTCAGTAGATCTCGTAAAGCTTGGAACCTGTTGTTGAGAGTTATCTTAAATTCGACGAGTTTGTTAGTATCTCGAAGGAAGGCTGTATTGAACACATGTGAGGCTGTTTCTCCAGTTGTCCAGTGTTTCTTCAGTCTCACTTTCATCTTGGCAACCACCATTTGGTGGTGATCTGAAGCTATGTCAGCTCCTCTTCTGGTTCTCACATCTTCCATTGACCTTCGGAATTTTTGTTGATACAAATATGATCTATTTGGTTCTCTGTGGTGTGGTCCGGTGAGATCTCTGTAGCTGGCTTTGTGTATGCGTTTGTGTGAAAATAATTTGCTGCCTATAACCAATTTGTTGAATGCACATAGATTTGCAAATCTCTCCCCATTTTCATTTCTCCCTCCCAGTCCATGTCGTCCCATTATATTTTCATATCTTGTGTTGTTCTCTCCGACTTTAGCATTTAGATCTGCCATCAGGATGGTGAGGTCCTTTCTTGGGCACTTCGCTGTGATTTATTGCAGCCTCTTATAAAACTGATCGTTATCGTCGTCGTTGCTCTCAGTGATGGGTGCATAACATTGAACAGCATTCATGGTGATCCCCTTCTTCTTTGTTTTGAATGATGCTTTGATAATTCTGGATCCATGAGATTCTCATCCTACAAGTGAATCTTGTGCTTCTCTGGACAGCATTGGATCAAGTCCCTGAGTGTGTGGAGCATTTCTTCCTCGTGACCGGAGTACAGCGGCATCTCTCTCGTACCTAGCCTTTGTTATCCAGCTTGTGTCCAATGGGTTTCGCTGATTCCAAGTACTGTCAATTCGTTTCTCTCCATTTCCATTGCTATTTGACTGGTCTTCACGGTCTCCCACATTGTCCGGACGTTCCATGTACCTATAAAGAGTGTTGCTCTGGTTGTTAGAAGGGACATCAGCCTCGTGACTTCCGAAGAACCTCGGCTCTCATCCTGAAGCGTCATAGTTTTTGCTTTATCGCCCAGGGCAGAATTTATATGTTTTGAATAATTTTTTCGAGTTAGCATTTATTTTAGCGAGTTAGTTTTCTACGGAATGGGGTCGATAACCCCATGTCCAACCCTCCTCGTTTACCCGAACTTGGGAGCGGCAGTAACTCTAGACGATATATAGGTGGGGTTTTATTGCCTATCGGTATGTATTAAAATATAAGAATCTGATCCAGTAAACTACTGTCCGACGTTCTACGTCGTCCCAACATATTTTTTCTTTGTTTAAAGATAAAAGATTGAAATTTATATTTTTAATTTATTATTTATAATTATATAATTAACATTATCGGAGAAATTTAGTTTAATTTAATTAAAGACAATGATAAGCGAATATTCTTTGTGCACTTAGCCAAGACGTCATTCTATGGCTAGGTATAGCTTCTGCTATTTTGAGGAGTTGAATGCGAAGAAGTCTTGGTATATTTGGTCAGATTCTATGGATATCCTTAAAATCGACATGTGAATTAGTTGAATTATTAGAGTTCGATAAATACTCTGTAATGGGATTCCTAACAGCCTCCCGAATTCTAGTGAATTCAATGGAGCTGGTCTGTTCAAAAGTTCCTCGATATGTTCTACTCATCGGTTCTTCAGTTCTTGAATCTCAGTGAGTTTCTTTCCTTCTTTGTCCTTGACTGATTTTCTCTGGTTTAGTACATTTCCCTGCTAGTGTCTTCGTTGTGTCATATAGTTGTTTCATATTCTTTTCTCTTGCAGCTCTTTCCGCCGTCGTTGCTAGTTTTCACATGTATTTATGCTTGTCGATTCTGATGCTCTTCTTCACTTGCTTGTTTTCTTTAGTGTATTCAGCATGTGCGTTGACTTCCTCTGTTCGTGTTTGGCTGTTGTTAATCTCTGTCTTCTTGTTCTTCCTTTCTTGAATCTCCTCCAGGGTTTCGGTAGAAATCTATTTCTTATTAGCATGCTTCCGGAGGCCCAGAATCTTCAAACGTATGGTCTACTGACGTTATATTAGCATGTTTTAACTATATCTCTCTTGAGTTTGTGCATAAATGTACGTCTGTTTGGTGGGTTATTTTGTGTTATAAAACACCCATTGATCTTTCGCTTTTGATTAAATTAATTTCAGTGAGCTCCGTAAATCATGTTGTTGTAACAGAACACTTATCAGTCTGGCTCCTTTGAGCTCTGAATGCTAAATTTACGGGACCCAAGGTTCGATGAAAATCAGTTTCTGAAAAATATAAATTTATAAGATAAATCAATACATAATTTTATTCAATTCATGTAGTTAAACAAACACAATCTAAAAGTTAAACACTAAATAAATTCGTTTTCATAAGTTTTTTACAGAGGGATTAGAGATGCTGAAATATCACATTGATAACGACCTTGAAGACATTGATCTCATGGAAACTCATCAAGAAACTAAGTCAAGTAAATTTTTATGGAAGATCCTGTAATTTTAAATGCTGAAATATTTGATAATTTATTTCCTTTACAGAAATTAAATCAACCCTTCTGTACCTGAAAGTTTTATCACACTTGAAATCGTCACTGTATTTATACATATTTTTGTTTAATACATGTCTTCATTTGTGTATAACTCACAGTTACTAGAGGAGAACACTTAACAGTCTTGAATTTTACTGTTTACAATTTTATAGAAACCCTATTAATAACTAGTTGTAGTCACTCTTAAGATGATTGATTTTGTATCGCTTTCCTTATGACAAATTGTGTCTATCTACTCCAATGGTAAATCGATGGATGGATATTTTATTCATTAAGATAAACATCGAGATTGTATGTTTTCCGTTTTGAAAAATATGCTATGGATTTCTCTCTCTTTTTTCCTTTCGTTTAGAGAGGTTATGTACAGTGAATACAATCTGTAATTGAAAGTATAAACTTATTGTTGTTGTTCATATCTTATTTGTTTCCACTAACTTGATTTGACTCAAACATTTGTAATGATCTATATTGGTCGCGGATGCACAATTTCAGCGACTTTTGGTGGCCCTTTATCTGAATACAATTAGATCGTGTGATTATGGTTATCGATTCATACATTTCATCAATCCTCGCATATTATTATCGACTTAACTCGTGTTAATGAATAACGGAATTAAATAAGTCAAATACGAGAATAAAGTTTCAAATACGTATATTTTGTACAATCGTTGATCAGAACAAACAGAGAGACGGAGCGAAGGAATTGAAGAGGAGAGAGAGAAGCGAAACCAAATGACACACAATGGAGGAGGAGTGTGAGCCAACTCAACTTAATCAAGCGTAAATCAATATTTATAGACACACAAAAATAAGTCACAGATATGTGAAAAGTAAGATAAGAAATGTGCATACATGCGCTTACATAAAAACAGTCAAGGTTGACAAGCCAATAAGTGACAGAGTAAAAATGTGGCTTGAGAAGAACGAAGAGATGGATCTATCCGAAAGCTAGAATAACCCACGTGGGCTTCACATAGTATCAGCCCCTACAGACTCATAACCATAAATGAATATAAATCAAAACAAACCTAGTGATTTAATATTGTTTCTTGAGCATTATATAGTACTATGCCTAGTTTTGAAAAGACCGTGCAAGTATTTTTATTCTATACAACTATATTTTATTCTTTTTTCCTTTTTTCTCTAGTTTTTCATAAATACGGATGATATTTTTTATGATGATGCTGATGCCGATGAAGGCTATTTGTTCGTCAACTAAGGGTTAGTTTGGTGACCCCTATTTTCATAACGATCTGAAGTCGTCATTGTGAGATGTCCGTAGCATAACACTGAAGTCTGTTATTTTCGGAAAACTTTTTAGCACAAAACTCTAATCGTATACACAGAATTTCAGTGCTACCACACTTTTCCGCTGTAAAATATAAATTGTAAAATAATAGTAATCATGAATTTGTTTATATTTTATTTAAATCAGCTTTCAGTGAAATTTAGCCTTGCATTTCACGAGAAATAATACCTTTATAATCAATAGTAAGTTGTTTATTGAAAGGAGTGAGGTTTTCTAAATGCAGCGCGCAATTGAGTTTGATACCACAGTCCTCCTTCATTGGCTGATATTCAAGAGGACCTCGAAAGGTTCTGTATGTATATGCACCTACTCATCGTTCCTTCTCGAGTGAAGTAGTAACAAAAATTCTGCTTTCCTCTGTTTTCTTATTTGCTGGAGGCTGGATAGAGAGTCTTTAGAGGTAAATTACTAGTTCGGTTGAACAAGTGGTTGACCACTGAGTACTAACCACTGTCATATTTGTCTATCCCTTTTATTAGTGCTGGGCGAATCCTACAAATCAAGTTGCTACGTGATCACCAGTCTAAGTGACTCAACATCGTATACACTTGAGATATTAGGTGGTTGGAGGTAGTCAACAGGAGACTCTAGACTCAGGTTTTGTGCTAGTTGGCACTTATTACCAAGGCGTACCTATAATGTTGAGAGAACTAGTGGTCTTTAATTGATCCAATCCCGTTTCACTGAACCTCAGAGTTTGCATAGTTACCACTGAAATATTCGGGCTATGAATGACCAAACGGACCTGGTTTTACCACTGCTCAGTGATGAAACTATTGTAAATGTCTCTGTCCCACGAGAGGTTGGTCATATCCGAACATTTCAGTGGTAACTATTCAGACTCTAAAGCCGAATGAAACGGGATCGAATTCATTAAGGACCATCAGCCCCCTAAACACTATGGGTATGCTTCGCTGACTTGCACGAAACCTGGGTATAAGGTTTTCTATCGACTGCTTGCAATCAACTTACATCCCAAAAAAGTTCAGCTAAAATTTATTTTGGGTTGACTAATGCATTTTTTCGGATTAAATAAATTGAGGTGAGTATTATTGAAGCTATTACTTAATAATAATATGCGTCATTATGTCTAGTTTCTAGTGTCGACTATGACGTAGATTTTTAAATGTTTAAAAGTTTCCTTTTTAAGAATATAGGAATAGATATATTTTAAAATCATTAATTTCTGAAGATTCAATAAATCGTATATGTTTAACGTTGAAGAGCCCAGGATACAGAGATTGTGATTATTATTTTTCCTTAGTTTGTAATCATTTACAAGCTTTTTCACGAATCGTCTCAAGAATAATAAAGGATATTCTTCTAAATTACATTTATATATCTATAAGAATAAGTATTGCTATGAATTAAATATTTGGCTTATTTTCACAAATTTAAATGTAGTGAGAGGAGAATAATTATGATAGCTATCAAAACGAATTAATAGTTACATGTTTTCAAATTAGGAAATGAGCACTTTGTTAGATAACTGTTATTAAGTCTGGAGCAGGGGACGAAATATTTGGGAAATCAAGTGCAAATAATTCAGATCTTGAAGAAGTAATAATCGATTATTTGTGGCAAGTGTGCAGTAAATGTAAGAAGAAAATAAAACGATACAGGCGAATTTGGGTTGACGTCGTAGATTTCGAATTTTCAAATATGAATATTGAGTATTTTTTATCAGGAAAACTAGTTACTAGCTACTGTTTCCAGAAATGAATTGTAACAGTTACTGCTACGTGAGACAAGTTTTTCAACGTAGAATAAGTATTATTCCTTCATCGTTTTAGCACATTTGAGGAACTGTTGTCTTGTGCTGTATCCGACTGTGAAACAAGCTTCCTATACACGAGTCCGACCAGCTTAATTAGTGAAAATGAGGCCATCATTCCAATCCATGGAGTGCTTCATTTCTTAAAAAAAGGAAACCACATCTTGGGCAGTCGCTTTAGCTTATCATTTAGCAGATGCCTAATTGGCCAACTGTACTAAAAAAACGTTAATAAAGACGCATCCAATTAAATAATACAAATTAAAAATATAAATAAATAATGCAAATTAAAAGCCATTTCACATGCTTTTCTGTTAGTTAAGTTATAGTCTTTACATAATATTATAACGGGATAGTGCTAGAAACTACGGAATACATGTTGTATACAACCTAAGTAACTAATATGCACAGTAACAAGTAAACTTGTAGATGGGTGTCAAGGTTGATCAAAACAGAAGACTGTCTCAAAAATAATTTGTCGGTATGTTTATGTCATACAGCGCTCAACAAAAAGTCAGTTATTTCTCAAAAATGAAGATTTCAGCTTCTTTATAATTCTTGTTAGTATATTTATCTTTGAAACCGACATTCATAAAAATAAGTCTTTGACAATGTAGGGAATCGTTTTTTATGATAAACTTGGAGCTATTTAATATATCTCCAAGTTTAATAATTACTTTTAAGTTAATTAAGGTGGCTTAAACAATATCTACTTTTTTCAAGCTTACTGCTAAGCATTACTTACCCAGGTATGAGTATAAGTTCACAAATCTGTTAACAGCTTTATGCACAGATGGTCGATTTTCGGTCACTAAAATTTCACCAAGGCTACTTCCAGTAAATTTAAGGATTTCTAACCTAAACGTTTGCCTAGAAGTACCATTCAAACATTTAATAACTACCTCACTCAATCAACATTTTTCCTATTTCTTAGAAATATTCGTCACATTTTATGATGTTTCATTCACCATCGAGTTAAAATCAGAGTTCACAGGTCTACCAAATATGCTTTGAAAGCTGTATTGTTTATGTCTACACAAAATGATAAGAGTGAGTGACATTCTCATAGAGATAAATCCTTTGTATATAAACATAATATCTAAAGAATCTTAATCGCATGATAAATGACATTGTCGAAGCTCAATGCATAATAAGTTCTTACAAGATATTCCATTTTAACAAACTTCATTTTATTTAAGTGGAGTAGCTGCCTGAAGTAAAGTGAATTATCTCCGAATAAGATCGTTGCACCGTTTCTGTGAAATATGTCACAGTAAAGTTTCACTTGTATATCGAGCGTAAATATTATTAGATACTGATGTTGAATATTGAATGCAGCTGATGAGAGACCATGAAATAATATGTATTTAAATTATCCTGCCTTAACTCCTATATTTTGCCTTATTCGAATATTGCTGGTCTTTCCCGAAATCATTCGTCTGTCAAATAGACTGAAAAAGTAATCCAAATCTATCCCCTGACTTTAAACATTGTTTCTTGTAAGCAGATGTCGAATATCATAACAAAGGTTGAGAATCCAATTTTATTTGTTTTTAAAGATTTGTATTATTGGTTTTCGACATTTATGACTGAATTTGTCAATTATTTGTCGGTAATATGGGGTCTTTTAACAAACATCTTGGTAATTCTTGTATTTACAAGTTGATTGTATTTTAAATAGTAATTAACGGTGTCATCAAGTAAACATGCTCTGTCATGTCATAGTATAATTGTAAAGATTTCATATCCCAACCGAAACCGATCAAATTTCCGTATCAAATATCATACGCATTTAGCAAGTCGATGTTTATAATGATTCGTTAGCCTTACAAATAACAAGTTAGTGTTTGGAACGATGAACATTGTGGCTCTGGTCTCAATATTAACATTCACACTATGATCCAGGTACAATCAACCAACGAATCATTCGTGGAATGGAACAGAATTCACTGATTTCACTTTAAGCCACCATTAAAAGTGCCGCCAACTTTACAATCCAATAGTTGATACAGTGTTATGCGAATTAAACATTACTGTGAATTGAACTATGGAGTTCCCGTAGAGTTAGTAAATCAATACATGTACAGATAAAACGATCAGAAAAATATCTAAATAATTTCTTTAATAATTGACGAGTTCACCAATGAATTATTGAAAATAAACGTAAACATGGACCTGTGTAGTGTTAAAGGATGGTAAGTTTACGTTACTGTGATAATTTGAAGTATTTGAATTATAGTATAAAATAGTAATCCCAGAAACAATACAATTTAATCAAGAAGTATTAGATGAGCACGAACAAATGAACTGTATTTGGAATTCAAAATTCAAACAGTCATCAATACAAAGAAATCATTGGTTCATATAAACACCACAATTACAAAACCAGTAATTTACTAACTGAGCAATCAAAAGAAACTGATACCTACGCCATGGTTTCAGTTTAGTTGCTAAGTATTATCCCCAACTGCCGCATGAATGAAAGAGACATAAATGCTCACAAGTCATCCAATAAATCAATTAATCACCTATTACCAATCAAATTGGATTGAGTTAGGGATAAGAAGAAACTTATCTCATAGGGATTTGACTGTATGATGAAGCCTAGATACGGAATATGGAATAGAAGCTATTAGATTTTTAGACTGGTAGCTTAATTGTAAGCAATTGAGCCACCAATTTGAAGGTTTAGGTATATAATTATTTTATGGGTAATTTTCTCTTGTATTTCCAAAGATAAACTCGTTTATCAGGAAATTAATTTGTCATCTTGAACTAGTTGAAGTAATCTGACTATTAATAAGTTAATATTTAGAGATAAACCGTGTCGTGTGTCAGGTATTTACCCACTGAAGACAATGAGAGATGGTCACGAAATGTCGTGGACTGGTTGAGGTTATTCATCAATGACGTTAGATGATGACTCAATGGTCTAGAGATCAAGTGTTCGCGCGCGAGACTGAAGGTCCTAGGTTCGATTCCCACGTTTGCGATCGTGAATTCTCACTGTTGAGGAGTCCTGTTTCAGTATGAAGTGGCCATTAAGCGCTTTTAGGGTTTTCAGTGATGGTCTAACTCAGATCGATTCAAAATTTTCATGAATATTTAGAGTTATAACTAGAATCCAGGCACTGGACACATCTTCATTCCATCATTTATTTTCAAAAAATGTATTTTGCTAATGGACATTTAAACTTTTACCGGACAAATATGGGCACAATGCCTAACATTTATCATCAGTCAATCATTGCGGAATAACTGAATTATAAGCAAATAGATAAACTCTGTTATAGAATGTATGAGGTGATATTAATAACTTTTTATATTGTTTTACAAAACAGTTTTATATTGTTACAGGCGAAGAACAGGTCACCACCACCTCCCTTATTTAACCCACGTATCCATAACAATTTCATTTTGATATCTTTTTGTATTGGGAATATCTATATAAGTATGGATGAAACTGATATATTCGTCATAAATTACGTGTTGAGAAAATGTATCATGTATACAACATATGGTGGATTACCGATAAATGTCCTTGTTGTTGGCAAGTTCACACTAAGTTTATAATTCAGTTTTTTCTGTTTCATCTATCATTACTTTTAAACACATTTTGATTAGTTTAATTGGGACTTACCATTATAATTCATTATTTGGTTCGTATAAAAGCTTAAGCGCAGAATCCATACTTAATATTTTTATCTAATCTGTTTATCGTTGTATACATCAAGCAGAATTTTATCTTTTTTAATTATCCGGATTATCTGGAAATGAAAATTTTCTTCTATGGACATTTACGTTAACTGTTAAAATGTTAACTTTTGAATTGGTATGCGTATATGTTTTACTTCTTTGTATCATTATTCTGAAGTCCAATATTGAACATTCAGCTTTGATCATACTTGCTACTTCATGGATTACTGATAACGATGGGATTACTATAATCCAACAAGTCCATTTAATTCAGAAACAACAAAACCTTGATATAGGCAAGTTTTGCGAGATCTTTACTCAGATCAAAATATGCATGCTTTTCGTTACTGTTTTCTTTCAATTATATGTCCATGAAAAAATTATGATCCAAAATCCAGGATCGCTACAGAAATTTTTAAGCATCTTTAAAGATGAGTCTAGCTCCCTTCAGACCCCACATAATGACTGATTAACCCTGAGTTTAGTAGTTTGCGTTTTAATATTAGTCAGCTAGTTAAATGACTTTAATATGGATAACTTTTGGTAAACACTATTTTAAAACCACATTTCTACTATCTTACTATTACCTATTTTACAATCATATAGTGGGACAAAAATTGAACACCACTAGGTTGGTCGGGTATGAGCTGACACCACGTGACTCTCATAAATTGAATAACAGCTAATGCGATTTCCAGTTTAAAGGATGGAAAATAGATCTCTAGAAGTTCATACTTTATGAGTATCCAAACAAGATATATTGAACAGCTCTTAGTAATCTTTCATAAATTAGATACTACAGCATTTTTTATGTCTATGAAAAACATGATAATTCACAACGGTAGTTTACTTAGAGATTTTAAATGTTATTTGACCATTTATAACTTAATGTAGAATGTATATCAATTTTCTAGCCCTTCTTAGATGTATTTGGTTTACATCTGATTTTCTGGTTAGGTTAAACCCAACTCAGATCAGCGTAATCTTTTGAAGTTATACAACTGAGAGAAATAGATTGTAATTGTATGGTCTAAATTGAGGAAAAGTAATTTTTCAGTGGTACTTTGACTTTTCATTGATTCTTTAGCTGGTTAAAATCAGCAACTGAAACTGAACAAGTTTCCGCTAACCGCCTATCTATTTTTTGTTTAATTAATTTCAACATACACTGGAAACTTTAAAGCCACTAAGGTTATAATATTTCTCGGCGAAAAATGAGAATTTATGTTTGTTCATCAACTTCTTAACAAACGATAGTCATAAAACAAGAATATTTAGTAAAAGGACACTGAAACGTTTTCTTTTGCGTTATTCAATATTATCAAAAGCGATATGTCATCTAGGCTGTTTTCTAGTCATAGAACCTTTTGTTTTCGTTCTCATAAACGCATGATGTTTTATTTCAAAAGAAAAATCAGCTTCTTTTTGAAGAATAAGAAAAGCAATATAAAGTGAATAGACCTATCAATACTATCCCTTTCAGTAATGTTAGTTATGGTAATAATAATTAATAATAGTAATAATGACTAAAGTTATTTAACCTATGCATAGATATGCAACAAACATAGAGAAGTACCAAAAGAACGGGTTGCTAAACAAAGAGAGAGAAAGTCGCAAAGTATTCGCTCTTTTGAGTTTACAGATATGGATGATAACCTCGAGTAATTAGTACTCAATTATATATTATATTCAACCATATACACGAATACATATTTGCATATTAGAGTATGACTTACAAGGCAAAAAATAATAGGTGGTGGACTAGCTAAACTATAGGGGAAGATAGTAAAAATGATTGTTGAAATATTCAGGCAATTATTTTTGTAAGTAAATAAGGTTTACAGTTTACTAGAAAGTCAATATAGGCTTTTGATTTTCTAAATATAAAAAGGGCAAAAATTTCAGTGTCGTTTTATTCGAAACTTAATTTGCCACTGTATATATACAAATACCACAAAATTAAAAAAAAACATACCACTTCTGCACGGTTTTGTACTTCATATTTCTAACATAGGATACAGTTGAAAATCGATCAAAAAATATTTATGCCAGTCTTAAACAGATCTCTGTACTACTACATAATAATACTTTTCACCGTTACCTATTGTAGAAGTGATCATCTTTCATTTCTAGGCAACTGCCAAAATCACTCAGATGATTATTGTGAATCTCATATACGGAACAGTATTTGTAATCGAATTAAAAATGAATGCTTCTGTCGACTAGGCTTTGTAGCAATTAGAGAAAATAATGAAATCGTCTGTCGACCAAGTAAGTTTATTTGATTAAGTGTCTTCATTTTGGTTCTTAAATGTTTGTTTTTGAAATATTTATCTTCTGTTAAACGTAGAATTTGTTTCTATAGTAATAATCAAGCAACCTGTATTGATGTGAGCCATCTTTTCATCAAAGATCTCTATATTTATGATTATACAAACAGTTCTACAATGTTTTGATTCAAGCTGTTGATAACATTTTATGAAGTATTCCACAAATCAGCTGTTAGGGAACAGACCGATTGTCTATTGTCTATCTGAACGCTGATTTAAATGATGTATTCCAAAGAGAAGGTACAACAATTAGTTATTCTACATCATGAAAGCCAATTTGAAGTGGTAAATTCGGGATTTTATTAGAAACAATTAAAAAATGAAAGTGATTTTAGAATATTCGACAAACGTAGAAGAAGAATACTCTTTTTAATAAATTCTTATCGGGTTCTACAGTTATGAGTTAATAAACCTAATGAACAGGTAAGTTTGTGGGAAATACAGAAGCGCCAGAAGTGGCTGGTGGAAATAACTGTTCATTCCGAATCCTTTTAATAACATTTCGTCAGTGTCAAATTTCTCATGCTTAAAGTCATAATTGTTAGACATAATGATTTTCATATCTGATACAAAAGCAATATTATCATACTCTTGAGTAAAGTAAACCCCTCACAATATCTCCTTTATACTGCTCATCTATAATATATCTGTTTTAAAAACTGCTAATAGACAATTCAGTATGTATCAAAAGTCATTCAATAAATTAATCACTCATTCACTAGTTAATGTCCTTGATGCTAATCTAACATTATGAAGAAAAAAGACTCAAAAAGTCTGAGTAAGTGTAATCCGCTGATTATAGTAGAGTAGTATATTAATTTGTTTGTCAAAACGTGGGTATGAAAAATGTATGCATTTGTAATATGATGCAGTGGGTTGGGATTGTGTGTCAAGCACATTTGACTTTATTTTTATTATTTTTACCCACGCACACACGTACACATAATCCCAACAGGTCATACGAATTCACCTTGACCAAGCATAACTTGACATTGACATATTCAAACCTATTATGAAGCCGTGACCGGTGAAGTTCTACCGGGTATGTTGTGAGATAGTAACTTACTGAAGACAATAGTAGATAAAGGCTCAATTTCGTGGATTGGTTGAAGTTAGACATTAATACCGTTGGATGCCGGCTCAGTGGTTTATAGGTTAATCGCTCGTGTACGAGACTGATAGGTCCTGGGTTCGAATCTCGCAAGGCAGTGTCGTGGATGTGCACTACTGAGGAGTCTCACAATAGGACGAAACGACCATCCAGTGCTCACAGGTTTTCCATGGTGGTCTAACTTTAATTTACTCATGAACTCAACTATTCAATTACTGCAAGCTCCGTAAAACCCCGTTCTGATAATATGGTCTTGATTGTGCTAAAAATATTTTGCATTGTTTCATTTGTACTTTTTAAAATTGTGTTAATTTAATTCGATTATTTATTTACTCTGAAGAAGTGGCTTACATTAAGTCACGAAACATCAGAAATATAATTTTTCTACTCATTGGGATATAACAAAAATGTATTTAATAATAAATACGTAATGTGTTTAAAAATCCTAAATTCACATGCTATAATTTTAAACGATTCATTTTGCCGTAAACCTGGCCACTTTTCGGACTATTGATTTCAATATATAAAAGTAAAACCTAAAGAGAATTTATTGAAAAGATTACTTTTCATGTATATATCGGTCTTTAATATGATAGGGATTTTTAAACAAATAAAATAATTTTAAAGCAATTAGTCCCTTTGTGGTGTTGTATAAAAGTGTAAAAGGGCGTATACTGAGGTTTATTGAAGCCCTAGCCATACGAAAATCCAAACCCCCTTTGTGTATTCAAAAACAGTTTATTCTCACCTTAAACCTACCCTGGTAATATTAGCTCATTATCCAGAGTGATTACGTTTCAAATTGTTTTCACACTGTTTTTATTATTATTATCCTTGTCTATTCTTACGCCCCTCCCAATTCCAGTCTAGTTGACCATTTATTTTTATATATAAATGTTCTTAACAAGTATATGTGTGATCAGGTTGTTCGAAATGTATTGCGCCAATATATCACATAGTTCTGATAATCTTCGTCTTCATATTACACTATCGAAATAAAGGAATGTCTTAAATTTTAAGAAAGAAACATAATTTATCAGACGCTGTACGTTATTAGGTCAGCAAGGGGATGATCTCAGTTTTCTTTTGATCATAGGAGTGAACATCAACTCTGGAATCTAGGTACATTCAGCTGACGAGTCCCAAAACAGACGAAGCTAAGTTAATTGTTTAAAAAAGTGAACATCTAGCCTAAGCTTAAACATCAAACACCACACAATATTATTTCCTAATAAAAAGATCTTTAATAATTAGAGATAATTGATACTCTATAATATTTTGTGACATTGAGTCATTCAAACAAATAGTTTATACTGACTAGACAAGATGATGTTCTCAACTTTGAACGTTTGGTTAATGTACTGTTCTAAAACAAAGTATAAAGTTCATGTGTCTCTGTTAATCGCATAATGAACTATTTTTGAGTATTTTAGAACTGTAACTTGACAGCTTCTGTATTAATTTTACCGAATGATTTTTAAATACTGATTTAACTTTTTGTATTAAAATTTGGATTCTCGTGTACGAATTAACTTATCAAGTAGTCAAACGTGCACGACAGTACCAGACAAACTAATCGTTTTTTCTTCATTTTTGTCGTTAATCATTTTCGTTTGACAGATTTTGTTTAATTTTTTGTTCTCATTAAGTTCTAACTGACCTTCCGTGCCGAGTCGATTCAGACTGCGTACACGTGGATTTAAGTGTATGTCATCCTGGAGCTGGAAGATGTATATGTCCTGGAAATACAGTTTATGTTACACATTTACATGCTTGCAGTAAGTAATTTTAAAGCTTTACACTTTAAACCAGCTTTTTAGCACTACAACAGTATTTTATACAAAATTTGAAAGTATTCCACTGATAGCCAATTTACTTTTCGCCGAACAGTTTAATGTCAGAAGGGGGTTTTATTGAGATTGTAGTAATTGAACAGTTGAGTTCATCAGTAAATTAAAGTTAGACCACCATGGAAAACCTGTAAGCACTGGATGGCCGTTTCGTCCTATTGTGGGACTCCTCAGCAGTGTGCATCCACGTTCCTGCCTTGCGAGATTCGAACCCAGGGCCTGTTAGTCTCGTGCGCGAGCGCTTAGCCACTAGACCACTGAGCCGACATAGAATGTTAATTTGTTTATTGTAATGGCTTTTATGTTTTTGAGTAATAATCTGTATACATCATATCTAATGCATAGAGTGTTCCATTTGTCAAATTACACTTTACTTATATCATATATAAATGTTGATTCCAAGAGGAAAATATATGTTTGTCAATAGTAACCAACAATTATGAAAGATAACATTCATTAAGTTAAAGTAACAATTTTGTTATTTATTGTACTCAGCAACACTATTTGATTTAAAAATAAATTCACACAGTATGTCATTTAAAATGTCAGGAAGATGTTTCTTAATTATTCATGGAAGCCAATAATAATGATAAACTTTATCATTACCATTCATGAAGTAACTAAGTAGCCTATTACAAATAAATAAGTAAAAAGAATAGTGTTGTCGATTTGAAGGAAAACGGATCAAATGTTAGAACAGAGTTTAAACTTGACTGAGCATATAATCGGTCGAAATCATAGTGTTAAGTCTTCAATTTGAACCGCTTATGATATCAATCCAGAGAAGGTTAATCATCTCAGAGACAGGTGATCTAAAATAACCACTATCACTAAACATGTAATTAATTAGTTGGTTCATATGTGTCTACAGTTATCCATCGTAAATATTTCTCCGTAATCAAATCTAAACACAACAAAACGTTTAAAATAAAGTGCACTTACTAAAACAAATGAACGTTGACTCGTAGTCGTGATAGTCACACAGAACTTCAAAGCATTCATAAAGTGAAAAATCCGTTTGAAAACATAGTTTCGCATATTTTTTGGATCTTTTCTGAACTAAATTTTGAATCTGACAGCAATCGGTTGAGTATTTTACCTTAAGAAATAGCCTGCTTATCAAATAGATGTTTTATTCTCTATCAAATTAATACAGTAAACAATTTCACTCTTCTCTTGATAAATAAATAGCAAATAGATTAATATCATGAATAGATCAATGTTAGACCACCATTAAAAACCTGAAAGCCCTGGACGGCCGTTTCGTTCTAGTATGGGACTCCTAATGATACCAATCTAAACTCAAAAAACTCCACAACCCTATATTGATAATTATCATATGCTCACTAGTGAATAGCTTCAAGATGAAGTTCTTGGAGTTCTAGTGAGAAACCGTGACCACTAGAGTTCAGCCGTGTCTGTTATGAGCCAGTTACTCACTGAGGACAGTGGTGGACGCTCGCGCCATATCGTGGATTGGTTGAAGTTAGACATTAAAACAATTGGATGCCGGCTCATTGGTCTAGAGGTTGGGCGTTCGCATGCGAGACCGAAGGTCCTAGATCCACGTATGCGCACTTCTGAGGAGTCTCACAATAGGATGGAACAACACACAGTGCTTCCAGGTTTTCAATGGTGGTCTAACATTGATCTATTTATGGTATCAATCTAAACTTGACAGTCTCCACAACCCTATACTGGTAAATAGAAAATAATTTGACTATTTCTAGTGAATCAAACTTAGGTTTCTTTAGTGGTGTTTCTGCACAAATCATCATGAGAATAACCAGTAAATGCACATTTTTTTAAACCATAAATTTTACAATTATTTGTTACAATTTTGAAGATATTTATTTAAGTTGTTTATCACCCGATTCAAAAAAGTGATTTTGTCCAATTACATCAACCTTTATAGCCCATTAATCTAAAAGTAAATCAGTGGCCATCGGTCAGTATTCTCAAAATATGGTTTTAAAAATTTTAATGACAAGCTGCAACCAGGATGGTAGTGCGTAGTCACCTGCTGATGGGATTAAGGTAGTTCGTCTTATATCACGAAATGATTGAAGTTGAGAAAGTAAACCAGGGAATTTGGATCGCATAGGCTGTATGTATTTTGCTTGTATTGAGACTCAAAGGTCTTGGGTTTCAGCATATGTGTATATTTAAACGAGGAATAATCTCATAAAACGGCTAACTAATCAGATAATCCACACTGGATGTTGACTTTTTTAGTTGTAAGTAATTGAATCTAATTTAGCTTAGGGCATTCAGGTAATCATCTACCTCTTTCTTGGTAGTCCATCATGCAAATGGATTGCTTGTACACGCTTTCTTCTACCAAGGTAAAGAATTTCACAACTACCTGCTGTTTCCCTCGAGTAAGTGTACTAGTCAAAATCCATCAAAGCTCGTAAAAGTTTTAGAGTTATGAATCTTTTGATTTTAAAGTATTCAGCTTTCTACAAGTAATATCTAACTAAATAAAAACAACCAATTGCTCCTGCCTTTTGATCGGATACCGAGAGAACAATCTTAACAGAAAATTTCAATGAACTACTCAGTTTAGTAGTTCCGGCGGGAATAGTGACGCTAACAATTTCCTTCTTCAGAATATAAATTATTTAAAAGAAACATTATCATAAAGAATTTCACTATATATATTTAATAGCTATGGGGACTGAACATCTCAAATACTGCATTTTGAATATATCAGTAAAATGAATATAACAAAGTAGTTTCTCCGTCAGTCATTTGTTTATTTTCCAGTTGTTGCATCATTTATCTAAACGAGTTTTATGCTCAATATTTATTGCCTTATTTTTTAAAATTAGGAACCAAGTTGTTTCATCAAAATTATGATGCTTGCAGAATGTGTGATACAAATCATGTGTGTCATGAAATAATGTCGAGAGATCTAAACCGTGTAAAGGATTTAAATATAATAGTAATAAAACTGGATGGTACTCTAAATAGGTAAGTTCATTGTGTATACGGACAAGAGGATCAGTTTTAAAGCTACAAAGTATGTATATACTACTTTCTATTCATGTGATAATTTTGTTTTAATTATTGACATATAGGTTTAAATGCACCATATAGCTGCACCATATCAACCTTTAATTAAGTGTTCTCACATACTGATTCTCAGTATTTGTTATGCCCGAGACATGTAAATTTATAAGTTAGAAAGTTAAGTGACAGAGTGAATAACTCTTAAGAGTTTAAATCTAATCCATACTTCTTATTGGCCTGTTTTAAAAGTGTTAGGATTTCTGCGTACGGAGATTGTGTCCGCCTTTCATTTAAAGAGAAAGTTACTCAAATTAGTTACAAGATGGTGATAACATAGTAGATGTAGAGTATATTTAGTCAATATGGAGAAAACATAGCCTTTAAAGTAACAATACCTTCTATAATTCATTTCCAGTTCAAACGAACCTGCGTTTGTTGGGTGTACTTGTGAATTTAACCCCGTTTCTAATCCAACGATAATACCAACTGGTTCTCAAAACCCAGAGAAACATCATTTATGCTCCGAGAATCTGCGTAAGAACTTTTCTCTTGTAATTAACATATTATTTATATCTAGCGAGTAGTTAGTTTTATATGTTTAAATTTCACTGGGTACTCATCTTAATGCATGATGGAATTAAATAAATTTTCTGTTAAATCTGGATAATCGCTTTCCGCTGAAGCGAACGGACTTTAAGTTTTCAAAAATATTATGACAAGCGTTTGGATGGGACACCATTTTTTTATTCTAAGCAAACGTAAAGTCAAATATTATTAACTCGTCCACTACTTCGATTTTGGGTATATTTGAAGTAAAGTAGCAATATAATTTATGACATTCAATTTTCTTCGTGGCGATTAAATGAAGATCTATGCTGATGTTTTGATGTTAGTAGTAAAGCCTATATTTACCATTTTTCATCATCTAAGGTCAGAATCCAAAATTCTGTTGATATTCATCGAAAAATTCCACTTGTAATTTTTTAAATGTCTATAATAATCGCCCACTTTTGACATATTGACTGCTCACATAGCTATTTGAATGAGGTTTTTGGATATATCTTGACTTTTAGTCGTCACTTAATTGGTAAATGGCTCTGCTAGGAAGTGTACATGTAATGTAAAAACTTTGGTTAGTATCGTAGGGTCCATGACTACTTGTAAACATAAAGCAAGTGAAGCAAACCTAATAACAGTTATCTGGATTATTCAACCCATAAAAAAAATAAATATAAGCAATCTTATGGTTTCAGAAGTTTCACCAATCACAATACTATCGGTGATTAGAATATATCTGTCAGATACGATCACTTATCGTGGAGCCTTGTACAGATGTGTTCTGGCTTAAGTTCACATACCTGATTAGCACAATGAGGTGATATTGGCAAGACAAATAGCAAAGAGATATCGAATTCACGTGGTTACAATGCCAATGAAAAGAACTTAGTATTGAGAATGTGGTTCAAGAAAACAAAGTGAAACGGTGTATATGAAGAAGTGCTGGTCTGAAGTATAGATCCTATTCTGTCAATCAAGTCTCCATTGTAGTTACTAATATAAGTGACTCGAAATATTGCTTTACTGAATTTTGTATTTACTATTCTGTATAAAGAACATCAGTATGTAGATATATTCTGATGATTCAATGCCAGATTTCCTTCATAATCATATGGACTTTGAAAGAGATTGGCGGGAAAATGTAGGTTGATAATGCTGGACCACGTTCACCTCTGAGGTATTAATTGCTAAAAAAGAAGCCAAGGAGTGGCCTTCGGTAATTCACCTCTAAGAGTATACATTATCATTTACTGATTAATTCAATTCGTTCCTATTAGTCTCCAACTTTTATCTATCATATTTGTTCACTGTTAGGACTAAAACTTAAACCCACAATTCCTTTCTAAACTGTTTTTTTAATAGCTGATATTGGTGAAGCTTGTGATCATTCATATTTAGCGTGCAGATCACGTACCGCTCAATGTGTTTCAGGTGATTCACCCAACACAAAGGTTTGCACTTGTCCTGAAAACACAGTTGCAGTTTACCAAACATTCCTAAACTATTTTGAATGTTGTAAGTTTATATACCATGAGTATTATTTCGACTGAACGTTAATATCATTAAGATAAGTATTGCACATTTTCACTCTTGAATATTGCTTCTATCTGATTTTTCAAAATATTTATCCTGCTTTACTAGTGATGAATACTATCAAGGTTTAAATAAAATTAGTGCACAAAACATATAATCATAATCCTTTCCATTAGATAGGTCGGTCGTCTAGACAATATAGAAGTCATGGTGATTCTCAGTTAAACAGTATTCTGCATTAAATAAAAGATTTCGGTGTAACAATTCAACTAATCTTTGGGTATAAAGATGTTCATGTGTATATAAATGCGACCATTTGCAGTCCTAAACATCAATAGCAAGATTCAAACAAGTAATACTAAGTGAATTTAAACTTCACCCCATCGCACAAGGCAGTGGCTATCAGGACTCAGTAGCCGAGTGGATAGCGCGACGGCGTTTGAAGCGAAAGGTACTGCGTTCGAGTCACAGAGCGAACATCAATTCTGAGATGCAGGTACATCCAGCTGACGAGTCCCAAATAGAACGAAACGCGCGTCCTGAATTCCACTGTTAGCCACTATCCATCTTTGCTTACAATGCTTGAGAAAACAAAATAGTTTAAAATTTCTCCTCACTACTGGACTGCTTGAATCATATCAGGAAACATTGCGGTAAGCCCATCCAACTACCTTATTATTAGTCTACTCGCTGTAATTTAGGTATTTAACCCACTATGTGAATTTATGTGTGAGTCTGATTGAGCGCATTTCTGCACATCAATATTTATCTATTCTCCCATTGGTTGTAAACACAGACAATCAATAATTTATCCACAGTTGATTAACGCTCATAAATATACATGGATTTTTAACACTCACATACTAACGCACACACTCACTGGTTCCCCTGTGTGCTTGCTTTCTAAGCGCTTGCATATCTTTTCTAATCATTAACGATAAACTATCTCTCTGGCTTGTGAATAATCTCGAGTAAATTCACAATACTATTAGGAGATTTAGCTTGTGTTAAATACTCAGTTAACGGGATACGATTCATTGGATTCAAATATAGAGGAATTAACCTCTACAAAATACCGTTCATTATAAAAAAGGAGTTCCATTTGAAATACGGAGTCGACCTGAAGCGCCACATTTTACGTAGTTGCCCTATATGAAGAATTGTTTTGTTGATTGTAGTGCGTTCATTTAAGTTTATGTACAGAGAAAATAACCAATTAGTTCTGTTGTACTTTAAAGGATAGTTTGACTGACAACAACATTTTATTAAAAAAATATGTTGAATTTATGGTAACTTTCGTTAAAATTTGGCCATATATGTTTGCAAATATTTGACGTTGTGTATTTACAAGATATTAGACATATTTGTAATTATCTCAGGGTATAATATAAACGTTTCAACGTTCCTATCGAAGATACAATTCGAGCTTCTTCACGAAAATAAGTGAGAATAAGACAAAAACAATTCTATAAATAAATCTATTATGTTCATCTACTAAGTTTATTCAAATGTTGTTTTTACAAACCATTTACCGTAAATTATATCCGATCTCTTGCAACTGATTCAGTGTGTGTATTTATGCATTGGCCTTACCTTTTGTTAAACAAGTAGGAGCATAGGATATACATGGGGTCACTATAGTCAATGCATATTGCAGCGGATACATTTAAACAGCTGAATATGAATATAAAATGGCACGTATGGCATTTGAAATAATTTCTCAAGTTCTTAGGGTAACCGAAGAAGTTTGAAAATAAATCTGTAATGGAACTACCTTCGATAGAATTAATAAATAAATTTAGTTTCGAGTAAGCCAAAACTGTTCTGAAATATTTCGTACCACGCGAAGCCCAACAGAGGAAGTAATGTCTTAAACATCATTGCCATCTACAAATAAGTACATTCATTTTGTCACTTTGTTTCTTTTGAAATGTTTCCCACCACTTTAATAATCAAACAACACAAACAACACTTAATAAGAATACGTTTAATCAAAATGTATCCTCACCAAGTCCATCTTGCTCAATTTAGAGTTTTATGAAGACAATGATAACTAACATGACATATCGTATGACCTCATGTATTTGCTGAGGTATAATAGAGGTTATATATGCATATTCACATAACATGATAATGCTATACTACATACCGAATCACACAATACAAATAAAAATACACATCGCATCAAGTAACCTACACCTAAATTAAAATTCAAACTAATAAGTTAAATTTGTTTTAGAGAAAGAGGGTTTTCGATTAAATTAGTTATGGAATTGTTTATGTTCTTAACCTCGTTTGCCTTTCACGAATGTAATTATTTCACTGTAGGAAATCGGTTTAGATTATTGACTGAAGAACCGAATCTATTTTTGCCAAAAATTCTTCCGGTTTAATACTTGAGAGTATCCTAACCAAAAAAAATTATAGAAGACTTTATCAGACATTACTGACCTAAATTCAGACCCTCCGAATAAAATTAGTTTACTTGAAATAGCGTAATTTCTATAAATGGTACAGTCGAAGTTACCATTTATTGATATTTTTCGTTTTCCAATTTTACAGAATTTCTTATCTAGTAAAACAGTGTCAGGTGATGGTATAACATAAAATAAAATTATCGGTTTAGATTTTTTTAATCACAGTACAGGGCTTGGAAGAAAGTTCCAGGCACTAGCTGGGATATGAAGGTTCATTTGAATGTATTCTTCAAGTTAATAAGAATTTTATGTCCGGATCCAAATATCGTAGTTTCGAATTCATACTGTTCAAACGAAACACTAAGTATGGAATCCCATCTTAGTTACTCACCAAATTTAGGCGATCAAAAATACAGTCAATAAGCTGACTTTCTAAGGGCGATGATGATACCAAAAAATTAAAAAAAAATGATGCTGGATGCTCATCGCGATAATTTAAATAATGAGATTAGCAATCAAGCACCAAATCTCCAGCCCGCACAATATAATTTTAAACCAAAAACATATAGGAATAGGTAAGGAATAACTATCTATTCTTCATTTCACAAATATCAACCAGAACTAATAGTTTCCGTGAGAAAGATCATATTAAATTGGAAAGTTGAAAATTTCATTAACAATTTTGTCCGTAAGTAAGGTTTGTTTGTGTCCATTGATCATAGTGACCAAACATTAAAGTTCTTGTTTCTAATGTGATCACATATTCTATTGTAGAATATCATGATATATATATATATATAATTAACCTTGGTGAACTTCGTTTTAAGAGAATATATTTGATTCCTTTTTTCTTAGTATAAAGATATTTTAATAATTGATAACAATTTTGGAGATCAAAAACACAGAACTATGACTTCTTAACTCCATCAGTAACTCTTCTACGGTTAACTGACGGTCCAGAGCCAGAGTAAAGGAGGAAGATAACAACCGTGCTAAAAATGTGAAAAAAGATTACACAAATGAAATCACAATTAATATAGGTTTATGGAATGTTTGAACAATTGTAGTGGAAATGATCAGATACAACTTAGTGGTGCTCGTAATCAGTGAAACCCATTGGACACAAGTTGGATAACAAAGGCTAGGTACGAGAGAGATGCCGCTGTACTCCGGTCACGAGGAAGAAATGCTCCACACACTCAGGGACTTGATCCGATGCTGTCCAGAGAAGCACAAGATTCACTTGTAGGATGAGAATCTCATGGATCCAGAATTATCAAAGCATCATTCAAAACAAAGAAGAAGGGGATCACCATGAATGCTGTTCAATGTTATGCACCCATCACTGAGAGCAACGACGACGATAACGATCAGTTTTATAAGAGGCTGCAATAAATCACAGCGAAGTGCCCAAGAAAGGACCTCACCATCCTGATGGCAGATCTAAATGCTAAAGCCGGAGTGAAAAACACAGGATATGAAGATATAGTGGGACGACATGGACTGGGAGAGAAAAATGAAAATGGGGAGTGGTTCACAAATCTATGTGCATTCAACAAATTGGTCATAGGCGGCACAATATTTTCACACAAACGCATACACAAAGCCAGCTACAGGGATCTTACCGGACCACACCACAAAGAACCAAATAGATCATATTTGTATCAACAAAAATTCCGAAGGTCAATGGAAGGTGTGAGAACCAGAAGAGGAGCTGACATAGCTTCAGATCACCACCAAATGGTGGTTGCCAAGATGAAAGTGAGACTGAAGAAACACTGGACAACTGGAGAAACAGCCTCACATGTGTTCAATACAGCCTTCCGTTGAAACACTAAGAAACCTGAATAATTTACGATAGATCAAAATCACAGGTTCCAAGCTTTGCAAGACCTACTGGAAGAAAAAATCTACTATGGAGGACAACTAGAGACGAATTAAAGCAACGTTAACTTCAAAGTGTCAAGAGGTTCTGAGACTTAAAACGCATCATCATAAGGAATGGATTTCTACCGAAACCCTGGAAGAGATTCAAGAAAGAAGAACAAGAAGAGAGCAATTAACAACAGCAAAACACGAGCAGAGAAAGTCATGGCACATGCTGAATACTCTAAAGCAAACAAGCAAGTGAAGAAGAGCATTAGAGCCGACAAACGGAAACACGTAGAAGAGCTACCAACGACAATGGAAATAGCTTCAAGAGAAGGGAATATGAAACAAATATATGATACAACGAAGAAATTGGCAGGGAGTTGTAACTAACCAGAGAGGCCAGTCAAGGACAACGAAGGAAAGACAGTTACTGAGATTCAAGAATAAAGGAAACGATGTCTAGAAAATTTCAAGGAAATTTTGAACAGACCAGCTCCATTGAATCCACCGGACATCAAGGCAGCATACAAAGACCTTCCTATAAATGTCACTCAACCAACGATCGAGGAAGTCAAGATGGCCATCAGACAAACGAAGAGTGGGAAAGCAGCAGGACACGACAATATACCAGCCGAAGCACTAAGGTCAGACATGGAAGCAACTGAAAATATACTCCGCATTCTATTCAAGGAGATTTTGTTGGAGGAACAAGTGCCACAGACAAATTGGAAATAAAGACACCTCATCAAGATACCAAAGAAAGGAGATCTGAGCAAATTGTGGAAACTACAGTGACGCCACACTAATATCAGTTCCAGAGAAAGTTCTCAACAGACTGTATCGCTGAACTGAATGAAGCACTATGTAGACGACCAACTTCGAGAACAACAGGATGGATTCCGTAAGGATCGATCGTGCACAGACCGAATCGCGACATTACCGATCATCGTTGAACAATCAATTGAATGGAATTCGTCACTATACATCATCTTCCTCGATTATGAGAAAGCATTCGATAGTGTGTACCGGAGTAAATTATGGAACCCTCTTCTACATTATGGTGTACCTGAGAAGATCGTCAACATCACACGGGATTCATACAACGGACTAAACTGCGAAGTAGTGTATGTAGGACAGCTGGCCGACGCATTCCAAGTAAGAACCAGTGTTAGACAAGACTGTCTACTCTCCCCCTTTCTCTTTCTTCTTGTGGTTTACTGGAATATGAAGACCTCAACATCTGACGGGAAGCACATAATACAATAGACATCTCATAATCAATTAGACGATTTGAACTTCGCAGATGACCCAGCTCTCCTATCTCATACACACGAACAAATACAGACGAAGACAAATAATGCAGCAGCAGCAGTAGCCTCTGTCTGCATCAATAGGCCTCAACATACACAAAGGAAGAGGCAAGTTCCTGAACAAAAGCACGGAGAACACCAACCCAATCACACTTGATGGAGAAACTCTGGAAGATGTGGAAACATTCACGTACCTCGGAAGCATCATCGATGAACAAGAAGGATCTGATGCAGGTGTAAAGGCGAGGATTGGCAAAGCAAGGACCGCATTCCTATAGTTGAAGAACATATGAAACTCAAAACAACTGTCTGCAAGCCAACATCAAAGTGAGAATCTTCCATAAGAACGTCAAGACAGTTAGTTATATTGTACGGAGCTGAAACTTGCAGAACTACCACAAGCATCATCAAGAAGGTACAAGTATTTATCAACAATTGTCTACGCAAGATAATGAATGTCCGTTGGCTGGATACCATCAGCAAAGCGTACTGTGGCAAAGAACAAATCAGCTTCTAACTGAAGAGGAAATTAGGAAAAGATATTGGAGGTGGATAGGACATATACTCGGAAATCACTAAACTTCATCACGAGAGAAGAGTTATCTTGGGATCGTGGAGGGAAACGGAAATGAGGGAGACCAAAGAGCACACTGTGTCGGGTGTTGGGAGCAGATATTGAAAAGATGAGTAGTAACTGGAAACAACTGGTGGTCGGCTTATGCTCCTCTATAAGGAGTAACAGGCCTGAGTATATCAGTAACTGTGACGAATTATATAACTTTATTCTTAACGGTTTTACGGAGATTGTCGTTTATATAAAATAATCATCGATGAGACTTTATTGAAATTATCATTCCTTTCTGTGAAACCAAAACCCTACTAAGCAAATAAATAATTATAGAACAGTAAATAATTGTTCTACAATGAAACTTTCAACAAAACTCGAGAAAGATGATAAACAACTAGATCTGTCCAAAAATGTAAAAGTGATTGAAATAAAAACTGAGATTCATGTTTTCGGTCGAATATTTTGTTTTCATTTTCGATTAGATCATCAGTTACACTTTACAACTATGTGGTTTGTTTGCACATTCCAGTTAACCTGAATAATAAAATAAATATATGTAGATTCACAAATATCTAAATGGCAAAACAAAAGCTTAACTTTTACACTCGTGAATCAAAACAAAATAACAAATACCTAATTCACATACTTTCTTATTTCAGTAATATTGATTGTATTTAGGGTATAATCATCAGAGTTAATAATAATTAAAGATAAAGTAAACGTATATGCATTCAGCAAACTTTATACAGACTGTGGCGAATAATCTATTCTGAAATCAACTTCTAGTTTCTATCAAATAAAAGTATGTCTCAACCGAAGTATAATTCAAAAGTTTGATGAAATCAATTTACAAGTTAGTGGATATTTAGGATTTTGGGATTTCAATCACATTTAGAACTGATTGTAAAGGGGAGAAATATGCCAATAGAAAAAGCATTTAGGAAACGTACGTTATATATCATTGTTAAGTGATGATCTAAAATCCGTTTCATACGGTGTTGACTTTGAAAGCTTTAGACTTTATGAAAAGTATTTGAAAGTATTCGTGTCTATTTCAGAGTGAACATATCTCAGCAGAATATAAAAGGTTGCATAAATTACTTTTGAATTTTCATCCATTTTAACAGCACGTTTACCTCAGTTTTACTTGGTGGACGATTTAGTCAGCATAAATGCCTACTATAGCAGTATTGTGGTGACCTGTTTACTTTAGATGTAATTAAAAGCATCGATTTTTGCTAGTGTTAATGGTGATATTAGAAAATAGCTTCAAAAACAAAAACATTTGAAGCTGAAAAATCCTACTTATTAGGTTTCATTGAGTTCTTTAGCCGTTAGCATACACATATATGACAATTTTTAGTTATTAGTTGAAACCATAACTGACGGCTAGTCTGTGCATAACAATGACTTATCACTTCACATATCTTTGATCTTAAGTGTTTATTTTGCGACCGTTTGTCTATTAGTTTTCATCTAAATAATAATAACATTCTCAATTCGAAAATTGTTTTCAGTTCCTGTCGTAAATAAGTCATTTTCTCACCTAACAAATACAAAAAATGTTGTAAGTGATGATTGTCAACCTTGTCAAAAAATTAATGGAACATGTTATGATCAAAATAATGATGGTATACCAGATGGATGCCAATGTCCACCTGGTAGGTCGTTTATTTATAAAGGTGATCAACATGAAAACTCACGAAACATAGCTGGTTCGATAAATCTTATTCAGTACAAGGACAAATTAAAGTTTCCTTGTGAATTGAAACACAGTAAGTGTTCATTTAACTGATGAATAATTTATATATTTCGGTTTTCCAAAGGGTTTTTGTAAATAACAAGTTTCCTTACTTTTGCTTCCTTGATTCAAAGTCAATTTGACGTGCAACCAACAGTTTATAGAATTTAACCGATAGAATTCTTTCAAGGAGTTTGAGTAGGGGAAAGTGACTTTTTGGATTGTTACTGAACACATAAATCACTGTGTATTTTTCCCTCAAAAAATCCATCAGTGTTTAATACCAAAATTTTTGAGGTAAAAAATACAATTGTCTTTTTCAGTAGTATGGTTGTCAGTACTCATGTTTTATCTATTTTATGTATTTCCCATTTCACAAAATAATAACATTTGATAACTACGACTAATTAAAAATATAATAGTGGCATCACTGAAAAAAATTATTGGTTTAGATATCATGTGTATAGCGAATAAAACTAAAGCAGTTAGATTGAATACGCTTAAGATACTGATGAAAATACGTTTAAGCAACTATTATTTATCATTCTCCACTTAGTTCGTTCAAGATGTATTTCACTGTACCGTACGTCATAGTACTTTGTCATCTATATCCTATTCTTGGAATTAATAAAAAAGATGAAAAACTACTTAAGTTCAAGTAAGCATAAAAACGTATGTCAAACTGCTATCGCTTCAATGCACCCATTTAACTAAGTTACGTAGCTCATCTTGGTGGTTTCAATTTACTAGGGTTTTATAATAGATTTATTCGACTAATTTTACATATCCAGTCTTAGTTATATGAAATAAAGTAAGTTATTGTTTAATGAAAGGCTAGTGAAAACTTTAGCGTTTTTCGGTGATATAAACATTTGCTCAACATAAATGTACAGAGTATAATTTTTAGTCTATCCTTCTGGTATATTCAGATTCGTTTTTAAATAGCTTAATAAGTACCAAGCGGTTGTCTTCATTGGAACTCCAAAATATTCCTGATATTTATTAGTGACTGGTCCAATTTAGAGGTACAGTAAAAAGTGAATAACTGATTTTCACACATTTATTAAACCTTATTGCATTGTCTACGCGAGTGGAATGCCAACATTAAGAAAAAATCAAAGGAATACACAGTGTTTAATATGCCAGTGTTGAAATGTCGGTCCTACATTTGGTGACAACACATTTGTCTGTCCATCTCCAGTAATTTACGTAACGATCTTACTCTTTGAACACAAAAGTATGATGACCAGTTATATTGCTTTTATTGGATGTTACTAATGGTTGCTTTTGAGGTCATCTATCTCGGAGTAATCAGATGAGATTCCGGCTCGATCTTCTTACTGAAACCTAAAATTAGTATCACTTTGACACCCAGATGATTACCTATTAGAATATTGAATTATAATAATATTAGACAGAGTAGTAATTATCAAAAAAGGTTAAAACTTCCTACTTCTTATTTGAAAGATTGTTTTTAATAACCCACTACTCATTGTACGAAATTCGGACTATTTCCTTTCAACATATTTTTGTTGCTACAAAAATAGTACACAAGAATATTTTCAGTAGAATTGGATGCAACGTGTCGAACAAAGTGGTTAAAAGCCACCTTAATAAGCATATGAAATAACTACTGTGACATAAATTCAAATGTACCAAAGCGCACATTTTACTTATATCCCATCACAAAACCGATACAACAAAACTAACTTGAAAACATGTTGTAAACTTATGTAAGCATACGGTACGTACTTGTTAACAAAAATCATGAACGTCGATAATTAACCTTTCAACTTATTCTGTGAATTCTCTATTTTAGTATAACTTGATCCGATCACAGAATAAACTGAGAAAAAACAACTACACTAAATCTTAATGTTCTGTAATTATCTGCAGAGACTATCAGACACTGCAATTTGTTTGTTTCAGACTTTCAGTAAAGAAGTATTCACCCTCACTTAAATTTCTTTGACAATAATTGAAATATTTCTTTCTAGCTGAAACAAAATGCGATGAGCAAAATCTCACAGTCTGTTATTTACCTCATTCTTCTGGAAGATTTCAAACACTACCTTACTACCTTCAATTAAATATGGTTGACGTTTCACTTGTGCAGTCAATGTATGGAGAATCGTTTGATCGTGAGCAGTCTTGTTCATTAAGCTCACAATTAAACCGAATATCAAATACCTTGGATGCTAAAAAAATATATCCATCGAAATTCGAATGGTACTGCATTACATTGCTCAATGATCAATTATTAATGGACACTTGTAAAGTTAAATTAGATGCTGACTCAACTTGTAGTGAACTTGTAAGTTATTTTAAAAATAACATGTAATTATCACCATTCCTAATATTATTGCTTGGATGTATTCTGTAGTGTCACTGTTCCAAGTATTTGTGTTTTGTGTGCATGTTGGAATACCTTAAATAATCAAAATAATACGAACTTTGAGAAAGCTCTTGAAGTTATAATATTGTTTGACGAGAATTTAAAAAACAACCATACTATCAGTATTAAATTTGAAAGTGTCCAGCAAATATACCTGTCAAACACCTGGAATCTGACTGGATTGAAAACGTTTTAACCTTACTATGATCATATGTATCTGTGGTATTATAGCAATATTCAGCTTCATAATTAGGCTAACTTAAGTTCAGTGACTGATAATGTAATTGTACACACTAAATACTCAAAAAGCTTACAACCAGGTTTAAAACAACTCAGGACGTCTGTAGAGTTGCTTGTTAAGTTCAAAGCTGTAATTTTGTTTGAAAACCATTCATTGTGGCGGACCAAAAATGTATACTAACTCAAAAATAGCAATAAAGTTATTACATCCAAAAATCAATATAATAATATGCAACTTATAAGTGATGAGCACAAGTACAAGTTAAGGGACGTTACTTAAATCAGCTGGCTGGTGTGTGTTCTGTTGCGTTTGGTACCAGAATTCACAATTATAGATAATTAATGATCCCAGTGAGGTTGATATGGCTCCAGTAGTATAACCGAACGTTGAACGTAATGTGAATGTTACAACAGTCTATAAATATAGATGATAGTTAATTGATAGTTTGGTTATCATAGCCACAAGCACTGTAAAACGAGAGGCGTGAGTATAAAAGTGTATTTATTTATGTGCTATGTGGTATTCAAAAACGGAAGTAAGTAATCAAGGTCATACCCTTATGCAAAAAATACAATCGTTTAATGATAAATGCACAGATTGTGAAAATTGACAAAATAAATGCAAAAGATATCAAAAACTATTAACAAAATAAGTTTATTAAGCCTATATCCACATAATCATTGTTCTACGTAAATTACTGAATTAAGACTAACTTATGTAATCGTTAAGCAATGTTTGTGTTGACTACTCATGTTGATGGAAACAACAAGGGTGTATATTCACAGGGATTTTTGCATATAACAAATATTTGACAAGAAAATGATGTTTAGCCTGTGAAACTTACATGAGATCAAATCCAGTGATGAGCTGAAAAAGTAAATGTCAAAAAGACAAAAGTATAGAATGAATAAAAATTGTTATCAGCAGGACCTTTTCAACTATACCTGCTTTGCAATTATTACATTCTTGTTCTAATGACGAACGGTCATAATACTAATAATATTAAAGCTCTATTTAATTCCGTCCAATACTTCCTTCTAAACTAGCGACAGCTTATAGTATTAGTTTTAAAAATCTTCTTAGCTCAGATGTAATTTTTTTTTCTTGAATTTCGAACGAAGTTCACAAACATTATTAGATAGTAACCAAAATACCTTGGTATGAGTTGGCATATTTTATTGTCAATCAATTCACAGTACGAAACACTGTACCTCCAAATTCGATTACAATAACCTATCACGTTTTCAATAGTTTTATTTTTCATATCACGTTCTTCACACATACCAATGTTTTAAGCGGACATTGATAATCCAAGCAATAGTGTTATTCTTACAACTTTCAGAACTGCTAAAACTTCCTAGAAATAAACAAAAATTAATCCTTTCAATTTTAAGAGTCAAATAATTAGTTCATATCAATAATGCTAATGTGGTCCGAAGGAGCCGTATTCGATTTCCGGAAACTAAAAAATTCTAATTACCTAATTTGTTGTTTACTTCTGTTTCAAAAGTTCTGTTATATGATTGAATACTGTATGCTGACTTTATTAGTCCTTTGAATTTGTAAACAATTCTATTTAAAATAAACAGCATACTACAAAACAATTGTTCAGTAAAACAGTTGCGATAAAAGTATCTGATAGCTGAGTAAACAAAAAGCTTATATATATATATATATATATATATACTGGGAAAATCTTATACTTCCAGTTATATCTTTCTAAAAGCTAACTTTGAATTAAGCTGTTCGCATTGTGGTGTGGAAAGTTAATATGTTATCACGCTTAACTTATTCTTGTTGCTTATGAAACACAGTCAAGACACCAATCCCAATTAATAATGCGTTCTTTGATTTATTATTGTCTTCCAGATAAAAACAGACCGAATAAAAGTTTTATCGATAAACTGTAAGGATACTACTTCAGACCTATCATGATACACTTCCTCAGGAAGTTTGAATTATCTGCTGGATACGTAATCTAACATTTGTAACGGCAGTTAATACGTAGGAAAATTATCCAAATGAGAATCATGTTAACGATCTCGACATGTAACACGGTCATGCGAATGATAAGTTTATGTTCTTGAGCAGAATTCGACTCTGGCAAAAAATAGTTTACTCAAAAAAGGATTTGTTTTTATCCATCCCTTGCCTTACTAAAGTGATTAGTGGCAAATTAACTGACTTATCAAGAATGATTGTTTTGTCACTGATGCAATGTATTACATCTTGTTATTGAAAAGATCAAAATTACTTTCTTGATTATCACTGAAGCTAATTTCAATCATGTGCAATATGATGAAATAAAAATTCTATCTCTAAAATTTATTGTGTATTTTGATAGCTTTAATAAATAATTTGTTTATCTCTGAAAAGTTAACTTGACAACCAAACAAGTCATATGTAATGAGGGCGTTTGTTTGTCTACATTTCATTTTGGAATAGTTCGGTTCATAGGGTTTCAACTCCATCATATCAATATCGTCTTAATTTCCACGCTATATTTATTCGTAGGATCGATCTATACCAACAAGGACACATTATGACACCTACTCAAATGGAATAATTGATTATCCCTAATTTTTGACACCGATTGATGGTCACTAACGTAACACCGTATCAAAACCAAGGTAGAGAGTTATTTCTTCTACACCTAAGTTTAGCATCATAATAAGTTAACAGTCTGAATAAAAATTATATCTGGGTTCAAATACCTGTAGTGGCTTGGCTTCGAGATAATTTCTTAGGCTTCGTACATCATCCACCATGATAACCGTTATTAAATAGATCTCAACCGTATTTTGATTCAGAAAACAACACAAAGCGCTGACTACAGTTTATCATTAGGTAGCTCAGATAATAAAGCAACAAGCACACTAAGCGAACTCGATCAGAAAGGCTAATGAGTTCGAGTAAGCGAATAAAGAGACAAATCTAATTTTTAATCAATCAGTGAGAATCAAGCTGATGTATATGGGAAAGCGAATGAATCATCGAGCGATATTTAAGCAACTAACGTTTAAGTTATGTACGTAGACTATCACATGTAATCAACCACACACGTTCATACTGATATGACAGTAATAATAAAGAAACAAGGATACAGACAAACTATCGCATGACACTGTTAAATAAGTTGATTGAAAGGCTTGACAATATTAACCGTAAACAAATTTGGTCGATTGATATTGAACCAAATTTCGGTCACGGTTGGCAAATACGTTTCACACACATTTGAATATTTAAACGGTTATCTTTAATAATCAACTGATAGAAATCATTAAAACAAAGCGGGTCTAAGATGTTCTGATCTATGGGAATACTATCTATAAATTCTTTATGCCTTGATTAAATAAGTCATTTGTTACTTGGGTACAGTATCTAAAACTATACACTACTTTTGCAAATAAATCATCTGCTTTGATCTTCTTAGACTAACACACAAGATCTTCGATATTCTGGAAGTGTATACCTCCGCCTAAAGAATCAAATCTATCCGGATGACAAAGCAATACTTGAAATACCATGGACGTGTACGGCTAAAAGAATATGTAATTTGGAACCGTGAGTGGTTTCAATATTTCAACTTAATATATATGTATATACAGTTTTTCAACGGACTCGATTTTTAAAAAATTATAAAGATATTATTTAACTGTTATTACCGTGTATCACTACCACATTGAAAAGATTTATAAAAAATGTAAAGATAATCGTTTCTTTTCGAAGTAGCTATGAGGACAGAAATAATTTAATCTACCAAAGTACGTTTTGTAAATTATTATGGAAAAATACCAATACTAATTACCCCTCATAAGCTTAGGTTGTTGTGGTAATCAAAGTTTTAGTATTTTGTTGAATAGAGAACATTCACTGTTTTCTTTGATGATTGTTTGAAATTAGTGTTTAAGAAGCCTATTTTCAACGCTTTATTTATCTGCGCTCACCAGCAAGATACGTATGGACTTTTTAGAGATTCATATAAAGTAGAAAAGAAATTTATAACGCGTTTTCAATGCAGGTTATTTTCCGTAAGTATTATTTTATTTAATGGTCAAACATTGACTACAATTACTTACTCACTTACACCTGTTACTCACAATGGAACATAGGCCGCCGACCAGCATTCTCCAACCCCGTCTGTCCTGGGCCTTCCTTTCTAGTTCTATCCAGTTTTTGTTCATTCTTCTCATGTCTGTCTCCGTTTCTCGGCGTAATTTGTTCTTTGGTCTTCCTCTTTTCTTTTGACCTTCAGGATTCCATTTATTGATTACAATAAGTAAACTTATAAAGTTGAACTCAATCATTTTTATATTATATGCTATTCAAGAAAATTATATATCGACAGGTAATTTTAAAGGCTGTTTGGGATGCATTTTAATAGCAGTATGACTGTCTAACGATCTGTTTGTTCACGGTCAAAGTAACAACTAGGGAAGAAAATTTACTTTTCAGTATAATTTGAACCGCACACATCCGATTTATTGGTCATTTGTGTTTCAGATTATCTGTTTGTTTAAAATTAGTTAACAGTCAAAGAGCATAATGATGTTTCAACCACGTTAATTAAATGACAAACAACAAATGATTAATAATGTGATCTCCGAAGTCCAAGAAAACTGGTGCCTAGTAGATAACAAGTCGATTCCATAAATTATGAAACTCTTAAGTAAACGGATAGTTTTTGATTCCGTTTTACTTCAGCATTCTGACACAGTGTGCAGTGATTATTGCACATCTAATGTCTGAAATTTATTGGTTTTTTTAATTTAATATGTGGCATAAAATTAAGTTTGGGTAACTCTGGAACACCTAAAAGGAATAATGAAATATAAGTGAGTTCGGAAAACTTAATCAAATAAAATGACAGTTTTTAAAAACAGTTGTACATAATTACTCAACGAATTAGCTACTGAATGTTGATTTTAGTCATGTTTCGGTTCTCGATATTGACCAAACTGTGTCTATTTTGGAAAAAAATGGACATAACTTTCACGCCAATTCAGTAGAGACTTCTGGGAATTCAAACAAAAGTCATAGATCTGGACTTTTTGTATTTTGAAATACTTCAGTAAGGTGTTATTATAGGTTAGAGGAAAGTTATTTTCTTTTAAACTATCAGTTAGATGCTTTATAAAGCTTTCTATGATCTGAATCACTTGGTTGTAACAGCGCAAATTGTAGTGAATTTAAGTTGTAAAAAAAGTACGACTCATAGTACTGATAATGGTATGTCCTGGTGATTTCTAGTAATCACGATAGTGTCTAACCAATCACTCACTAACCATCTAGTTATTTTATGCCAGCCTGTAAAGGTTGTCTAACTTTATTTTATATCAGTATCTTCCGTCCAACTGTTTACATGTTTTTCATCATTTATAAGCAAACCAATCAATAAGATAACAAATCAACAAGTGGAAAATAATTTGGGACAACTGTATGTTATGAATAAGAACAATGAGATCACTACAGAGACTGGTGAAGGGGAATCAGTGTATTTAGAACTTATATTTAAGTATGAAAAGTGTAAGTTGAAATTCGGTTTATATCAGTATAAAATGATTGTAAATAATAACTAGTTAATTGTAAGTTATGTATAGTATATATTTTAACTATCTCACCTTAGACTGAAGTGGATACTTCATTTGAATTCCTACTGTTATTTACTCTGTTTCTGAATGTTTTCTATTCATTAAGTTTGCCAACATCTTCACTGTATGATATGTGTATTGTTTTCAATCACCTGTCATTATAATAAGCTTATGTGTAATTAAACTTAAAGGCAACTCACTCTATGGATAGCATGTATTTAAGAGAAACAATTCTTTAGTACAACACACTTTCTGAATAGGTTTTACTTGTTCTCATAGCTTCGAACGCACGACTTTTTTTAATTTGAGCTAAATAGATTTAATTAAGAAATAATAATTTTGGTAATTTCTAGAACAAATACACATGAGTGAGTGTGATCAACATGAAAATCACAAGTCTCACCATAATATTAAATAAATGAACCATTACAGAGGTAAACTAGTTTAATTTTCCAAGATAGTTTAAAATTAACAGTCTCATATACATCTCTGTTGTTTAAAAAAAGTGGAAAGATGTGGATGTAACCTGAATCTTGATAACTGTCTCCTCGTCAGGATTCCTGAGTCGAAAAAGAATTAGTTTCAGTTAACTGGTCGTTTTGCACGGATGGTGAGTATGAAAATTACTCAATTATAGTTTCGTATGCATTAGTGAGTTACATAAATCTGTCAAGTAGTCAAAATTATCTTCAGTAATGCAATTCAGCAAACTGACTTTGATGCAGTTTTAGTGGTGAGAAGTTCCTTCATTTTATATGTTACATATTTTATTTTTAATGCCGCTTATGTCTTGCACAATTTAGTTAGTTTAAGTCAGACAGTTATTTCATACAATCCATCGAGTCCAATTATTATTATTTCTTAGCACGAATAAACAGAAAGAAATTTAGATTGTGTGAGCATTTCTAAGCCGCACATCTTTTGTCCTAACATATAATTATTAGGGGTTACTTTCACCTTTTTAAACGTAGTTTCTGGTTTACAATGACAGAATATATGTTCGTTCGGAAGCAAAATGGTAACTGAAACCATTTTACAGACTAAAATAGATTACTAATAGACTTAAAGCATTTTCAAATAGTGAACAACTAGATTTCTACATATTCTAGGACACTTGAGGCTAGTTATTGAGGGTTCCTACAACACACTTCGAATTCAAAGAAATATTCTGAGTGACGTTATAACTTCATTGAGCTTTAAAACTTAGTAGTTATTTAACCCTAATTTTGGAAGTTACAATTTAAAATTTGATATTTTTTCTGAAATTTCACATATACAAAAAACATTTTGGTTCAGTACTGACAGTAAATGTTTTCTTTATTTACAGTTGCCATAAGCACAAAAATGTGCGCAGTAGCCAGCCTGAAATTTCCAGAGAGCTTCAATCTTGAGTCAGTTATTGACATTCACTTATGTCAAGCATTTTACCACTTCAAGTAGGTTGTTTTTTGAGTTTGTTAATTACTTATTTGTGGAAGCAAACTGTATTTTTCTGCTGAACAGTAACTAATGTCGTGTACTTTGATTTTTACTGTTTAATCACACTCATCATTCAAATGTTTGGTATACCAACCAAGTTATCTAACATCTAATCAAGCTAAACTGAATTTGTTGTTTTAGATTAAAAACACAGAGTCCAATGACTAAACCTTCTTTGGATTGGAGGGTGTACTACAGAACTATGCATACAAAATTCTCTTAGGACAAAAAAGGGGCATGAAATTAAATATAATCGGAGGATCAATTGATATATTGAGTTTGTTCTTACAATAAGCCAAATGATAGAACCCATCAATCTTGTGCTAAATCTGCGGGTATAAATATTCTTGAGGTTGTAAAGATATACCTCTGGCACGTCTAAATAAACTTGAAATATCTGTGTATAGCTTTATGCTTGTTGACAGCTAGCTATCGCTAATAAAACTGGAAATTGTTCGGTAAAGTGGGTAAATATGGCTGTTATATCTCCAAGCTAAAATATCTAATTCGATTGACCACAGAAAAGTATGTACTCGTGAACAGTAACTTTCTATTCATGTTGTGAGTTTTATACTGAGTTCGTCGAAGACTGAGTAGCTCAGTGGTAATGTTTTTGAAAGGATTCTTCAAAAAGCATGTGAAAGAGAATAATATTTATCTTAGAGTCATAATAATTATTATTGATAAGTGCAGAAATATAAGTAAGTTTATTTGAAAGCTCTCTATTAATTTGTCACACGTCCCAGTTTAACTAGAATCACCAACTGTCAATTTCTTAAGTGTTTACTGTTGCAACTATAGAATTCCACAAGTTTCCATAAAAATCTCATCTTGGTATAAACTTACTATTGCTAAGATGACTGACCAGTTGCAGTCCTAAACACATCGATGGGAAGATCCAAACAAACAATACTAAGTGAAATATTGCTAAGATGTTTTCTTACATTTTTTGAGATTTAGCTCTTTGATTTGAAATTTTGCTAGATTATTGTTTGTAACCTAGCACAGAAGTCTTGAAATTTCGATTGTAATGAGGTCCAGTAAAAGCATTTCCAAATGTTGAGTTAAACTTAAACCTTTTGATTAATTACGATATATGCTTTGATATTGTTTGTAGTTTTGTTTCTCTCCATATACATTTGTCATTCTCTGACAGGTTGCTAGTCTTATTGCGTCTATTTTCTACTAGGACTGTGTTTTCATTTTAGTCTCAAATATCACAGCTATGATCAATTTTCTTCCCTTTATATTCTTATCCTTTATTTAATGAAGCACAATGAATAGCCGAAAGATTAAACAATAAATTTATTGGGTCAAGCATTAGAATCACCATGAAATATGAATAACTCACTTATTCTTATTCAATATATTGTTTATTTATTTAAACACATAAATAGTGGTACAAAGGGGCACCAGATATATATGCGCCCTGCACAAATCTCATTTGATTTGTGTGAGGGCTGTGATACAGCCCAGATGCTCAAACTGAAGCAGGTGGTTTTCTTAGGAGACCACACCCCGAGCCTTTGACCTAAAGATCTGATCCACAAGGCAGTGAAGCATCGTAAGGAGATGCAGTCCCATGGTAGCCGGTGACCAGCGATTGATTTATACGCCATTTGTTCCTTCAGGATACTGGAGCCCATGTACACCATTGGTTTGGGATCAGAGTTTTCCAACTCCCCCAGGTGGATTTTCCGTGTCTACCAACCCGGTTAAGGTACCGAATATTCGCTTTTCGTTCTCTCAATTTTGTACACAACACCCACGCCACGAGAAGGCAGTGGGTAGGACTTCCCTGGCAGAGGCTATATACGCGTGGCCATGTGAGAGCATTTCGAGAGGGAGAGCAGACTCTCCCTACTCTCGACCGTATCAGGGCATTCGGGGGCAGGAAAACCGTCATTATTCACTAGGACAGCTAAATGAAACTTTGTATGACCTCAAATTCTGTTTAATCAGTTCGATGCAGTTCACATTATCGTTGACATTCAAACAGTTGTTCGTTTGTCGTCAGCACTTGCTTAGACAATTAATGTCTAATTTCACAATAATTATGCTATGTGAATGATTTATTGATAAAATATTGATAAAATAAAAGCATAATGAGTCAATGGTTAATAAAATATGTATTCATTTCACTTGGAGTGATGTTGTTAATCGAATTAAATGGTGGTAAAACACAAAAATAATCAAGCAATCTAGACTTTAAATGATTGACTTTCGCGAACTCGAAACAAGGTTGGACTCATTGAAACTCTACAAACTCAGACTAAGAACAAACTACTAGGCCGTGGTGACACTTGGTTGATTCAGTTCTTTAAAACGATGTCATTTGTAAACACAAAAGTGTTAAGGGAACCTAAAATTCACGTGATAATGAAAAATACAATGTGACAGTAATTTAATGAGTTCGAATCCCAGTAAAAATGACAAGTACCTCTTTTCAACCTTAGGAGTTAATATGGTTATGCTAACGATATTCGTATGATATTATTTTAGTAAAAGTTACCTATCCTACAAATTTATAGTAAATACCTCTATTGGATGAAAGGTTTCCATATAACAACAATCATCATTAAGTCATACCTGTAGACTTGAAGATAATGCCTTCTCGCTGTTTAGAGTTTTTTTGCCAGACTATTCAAACCTGGTACTCAGTAGGATGAGATCGGTTAAAAGAACGAATTTTTAGAATATCTGTAGTTCGGTTGTATGTCAACCACTGTGCACAAGATCTGTTGTTTAGATGATCAAGGGTTTTTATAGGTTTAAACTAAAATTTGAGACGTCTTCATTTAGGAATGATATTCAAAACACTTCAAATGTTTCCGAGTAGATTAAAGTTGTGTGGGTGAATAATAATAATAATCAGGTTAATTAAATAACATACTGCTTACTCTTAACTACATTCAGCAGTGACCGGGATCAGAGTACATTTTGCTCATTTCATTTTGTTTAAATTCTGTTTTTAAGTTTTGGCATCAAACTCAGTGCTCCATTCATGTCATATACACAGCATTATTTAAAAGATTAATGAACCACCATCTCTTCAGTGAATTTAATTTGACAAATTTTAGTAGGAGCGATAGTACTTCATAGACTGCGAACACGCAGAAGATGTAACAGAGTAAAAAATAACGTATAGCGAATATTGGGAACATTAAACCTACCTTTCAACGCATACTGATTAATCCATTGTCTAGTGTTTTCAGTCTACAAAGACATGAAAATTTGTTAAGCAAATACCTTGTATATAATTATTGTCATGAACTTTTCAAACCAATTACGTTCTTAGATATATTTTTCCTTTCATTTAGATATTATGTTACGGATCAAAGCATAGTTAATTCGTACAAGAATCAAACAATATTTATAAGTGATATCCCTAGCCGAATTCAGAACAACAATACGTCATTCTATCGAGAAAGTGAGATATTTCGAGCTTACCGACTTATTCCCCAACAAAATACTGTATATTATATTTGTCACATTCCTCCATTAAACGCATCAATGGGATATCGCATCGACAGTAGCATGATACGAGTAAGTATTACAATAAATTAAACCATATATATATATATATATATATATATAAATTTTCTCAGAAATTAGGGTCATTTCTTATTGTGTGTTCCTAATCTAGGTTTTAGGGTAAACTCCCATTTTGAAAGTTCCTATCATCTTTATTATTTTGGTATCCATAGTTCAGGTTAATTATTCATTCAGTTTGTAGAATAACAATAGAAATAGTTAACTAATCCCATTGTTTTGGAAACTAATAGCGTCGTTTCCGTAGTTTTTAATTACAAATAGAAAATTTCAAGTCACCAATTGTCCAATTGATTGTATTGATCATTCTCTAAAACTATCTAATACAATTGGTTAAAAGTTCAGTTGTGTTTGAACATTATTAGCGGAATTCATTAGGATAATGAAGAAACCTTACAGCTCTTCACATAATTAAAATAACCCATTGTGTCATTGAATAAAAATAACGAGTATTCACTGAAGAAAATTTCCTTTTCGATGAAATGATTTATTTAATGTGTATATTTGTATTTATAGTTATATGGAAAATATATGTCTATAGAAGGATAGAAAAGATTGCGTTATAAATTGATTCGAGACTCTTATTACCAAATGAGGTTACGCAATAATCAAAGGTTAAGAGAAGAATATAAGGCTGGAAATAATTTACATGTCAGATAATTGCGAGGCGGGATCATGGATGGGCACTGCTGAGGAGTCCCATGATAGAACGCAATCTTTTCTATCCTTCTATAGACATATATTTTCCATATAACTATAAATACAAATATACACATTAAATAAATCATTTCATCGAAAAGGAAATTTTCTTCAGTGAATACTCGTTATTTTTATTCAATGACACAATGGGTTATTTTAATTATGTGAAGAGCTGTAAGGTTTCTTCATTATCCTAATGAATTCCGCTAATAATGTTCAAACACAACTGAACTTTTAACCAATTGTATTAGATAGTTTTAGAGAATGATCAATACAATCAATTGGACAATTGGTGACTTGAAATTTTCTATTTGTAATTAAAAACTACGGAAACGACGCTATTAGTTTCCAAAACAATGGGATTAGTTAACTATTTCTATTGTTATTCTACAAACTGAATGAATAATTAACCTGAACTATGGATACCAAAATAATAAAGATGATAGGAACTTTCAAAATGGGAGTTTACCCTAAAACCTAGATTAGGAACACACAATAAGAAATGACCCTAATTTCTGAGAAGAAATGTTTTTTTTAAAAAGATTATTGATGTTAGTGATATTCTCATGTAGTTAAATTATGTGAAATGAATGAGAGTAGATATGAATATTGACTGGTGAATGCTTATTGAACGAAATGTTTTGTTTCTAAACGTAAACTATTAAGGTTATTGTGAAAGCTAACCTGTTAAGTACACTTTGTTTTACTTAAAACAAACGACTGTTACAAGGGTTAATTATGTTAACTAGATTTCTTATTCATGACAATAAAATTAATGTAAGCTAACAAGATTAATTTTTCAGTTACACTATATCGCATGACTGAGTTGATTGTAGGGGGATTAGAAGAGAGCTAGATGACAAGACGTACTGATGATAATCTCTAAATGTTTTAAGCAAATTGACACGGCAAAAGTACTTTAACATACTTTCCATGTACTACAGGAGACGAACCAGTGTAAGTAAAGAAAGTTTTTCAAGTCTGTTGTCTTTGTCATCGAAATATTGTAAGGGTTTACAAAGCCTTAACATAGATGGATACTAAGATAAGCTATTTAATCATATAATCAACAAGCTTCGAAATTAGAATATGAACAAATAAATATCAACAGAAGAAAATAAATTCTTTCTGGAAAATAAAATGGTGTCTTATAGTGTTTAAATGGTATGGTTTGCTGTCAAATTCAGTCACCTAAGCAAACGTCTAACGCTACCTTGAATCAGATGAAACAAATAGACGGCTTAGAAACCGATATTTCCCGGATTCTTGAATAGATAGTTTGTATTTACAAGAGGCCACGATTAGCCAAACTGTGAGAATAAGGAAAATGACCTTTGTCAAACAAAGAATTCAGTTAGTAATTAAAGCTCTTTTACAAAGACACAAAGACATAATAGACAAAAGACTATTTCGACTTCGATAAATACTCATCAGAAATGCCTCCTCACCCAGTTTTATTAATAGAAATTTAACACTAAAACAACAACCTAAAAAGTAATCGAAAATTTGAATGAAAGCTCTTATAATGAATGTAAAACATAGAGGTACTGTCGCGGAAATCTTGAGAACATGAATTTCAACATCTCTCATAAAAACTTTCCATTCTTCAAAGCGCCGTACTGTCTTATCCAGATGTCTGATCATTCATGGATACGTTAAGAAAAAGTTTTAGCTTTGTGCCACATTGATGTACATTTAAAGGTTAACTTGTTCTTGTGAGGCAGGTTACATTGGCCAAAAGCAAGAACACTTTGCAAACGCGTATCAAAATACTACTCGAAGTGAATTTAGAGCGAAATTCAAAACAATCAATAGCTCAATACAGAAACATCTGATCAAATATGGGCACGTTGCTTGACCAGAATCATCGTTCAAAATAATCTACGCTGTCGAATGAATAGAATTGAAAACTTATACATCGCCAAGGCAGTAACATTTCAGTAGTTCAAGCCCGAACTCAGTGTGAAAAAGCAACACATGGAATTGCTACTTCTCCAGTGACCTTAACAATCCTTGCAGGATGCTTTTTTCTCTATTATTGTTTTACTTTTGAGTCCATAATCGGTTACTATTACCTTCTAAGAATTTTTCATACTCATTATTAAATTATTATTATTATCACCTTTAAGTTTTTCTTTTGTTCTTCATATCTGCTATGTGGACAAATGTCTCTCGTATTTCTAATTATTTAATTATTTTAATCATACTATTTTACTCTAGATCATTATGTAGCCTTCTTTTGATACTTGAGATCTCCGAAGAATTCACAATACAATCCATTCTCTTTTTCTATAGACTCATAAGTTTATCAAATCACTACAAATATAATTGTGCAGCTATTGTAAATAATGTCAACGTAAGGAAAATTTTCGCTAAATTATCTCTATTCTCTGTTCGCTGGCATGATTAATTTCCCTCGTTAATAAAAACATACATTCACTGAATATTTTCATATCAAAACCGAAAGGATAAGATTTTATGTCCGATTGCGTTCTATTACGTTGGTCTACGAAAATAAAACCGAAAATTGTTATCCTTAATTTGATAATCTACCAAAGATTATGAATTATTTAGAGTTTAATTTTGAGTACAGATTTGCCTGCAGATTAGGTGGTCTTTTTTGCAATTTATTGACTAATGAAATACAATCGTGAGTTATTTAAACGTACCACAATGAAACTGTTGAGAAATTTTATCCTCCAGATTACCCCTATTGTATTTTTTCATTCTTTAAAATATTATAAAATGGTAACGATAGTAGATGCAGAATGAATTATAGTATAACATCAATATGTTTCTTTCTAATTTACTCAGACCATTTCAAATGTTTAATTCTTAAATGTTCGCATTTATTCTAGGATTGGTGTGATATATCAAACAAGCAAGTAAAGTTATCAGCAGCCGATCATTTATTTATTACGAAACTGATCATAAGAAATTCAAGTTCATCTCATCACAGTAAGTTATTGCATTTTCGATTATCATACATCCGTTTGAATCGTATTTACCTCAGTTGATTAAAACTATCGATCAATTTGCGCATGCATATATGTTGGTGCCAGAATGTGAGCACTTTGTTAATCCTGAAGTATTTTGTAGTGTAATTTGATATCAGTTGTAGGACCACACATTTAACTACATTTTTATGGCTAAGATTATAATATATAATATATAATATAATTTCAACAATTAGGCTGAAATCTAATTCAGCAAAATTCAATCCCGCATATCTTGAAACTCCAGTCTATGTAAAGTACAATTCGATCATTATTAGCTTTGTCATGCCCAACTTGGGAGGTTTTAAACGTCTCTTTTTCTTATGAAAACTTAAACATATCAGCTTGAAGTCTTGTCACTAATAAGCTTTGTTTAATTTAACGTTTTATTTAGGATTTTGGTTTTCAAGAAAACGGTTAAAAAGGACTAAATTTCTCACTTGTTGTGCACCTGTTTCAGACTTTATTTTGACGGCATTTGTACACATAAACTATTGTGACTTAATTAATGGAATGACGATTTTGCGTCATCAGTTATAATATTCACCTTTTTACCTACATAGTTTACCAGCAAAATCTTAGTTTAAAATCACAACCTACTGGTTACAAGCCGAATTTCAACTCAGTTTACTTCCCTTCAACTATCAAAATAGTAATGAGTAAAGTCCTGTAACTCACTGACCAATACCAAATGCCAAGTCAACAAACAGAATCTGAATTCCAAGTTGGATTATATCGCGTCCACTATTTCCTCGAAGGCATAGTGTCCTCAATTAGACTAACTACCCGCTTGACCAGAACTGCTAACCTTGAGTCGACAACCCCTAATTGGTCTGTTATCCGCAGGCCATTCTTCATACCCTAAACTGAGTTCGAAATTATATATTCATACTCCACACAGATGTAGTTTGTATACTGACGTTACGAACCGCTTGACAAAGTAAAATAAAAAAATATTAATTATAAACTAACAAGCCAAAAGTGGCTGTAATTAGAGGAGACTGTAAGTAGTCGACTGAAAAATTAAGAATAATAAATCATGTAGTCGTACTTAGTGGGTTAACCAAAAACCAATAATGAATGAAATAAATACATAGTAATCTAGTTACTTAGTAATCGTACAGTGAAATTGCAATATGTGTGACCACATATACATTTAAATTGGTAAACACAGTGGGATGTGACACAATCGTATTCATGTCTTTTAGGTTTTGGATGAAACATAGACCTCGTTCTTTTTTGATAATGACCTTCGCTGCACAATACGTTTTGTTGATGACTGATTTAAGCCTTTGTTTCAATAAAAGGCTATTTGAATCACCTCCAAACGGTAAGGTGATGTAGACGGGCCTTTTTTCCGCCAAGGCCACAGTAGGTCTCATTGTACCATGAACTTTACATCTATTTATGAGTTTAAGTGGATAACCATTCCCCATTAATGTCTTGTTTAACAACTTAACATCATCAGTAGCGTCATTTGTGCAAATACTATCCTACCTGTTAAATGGGCACCTTATCAAACCCCGTTTGTATTGCACAGGGCAATAACTATAATAACTAAGGTATTGGACTGTCCAGGTTGGCTATCTAAAAATGGACCTTTTGATTGAGCTATCTTCTCATCTACTTTGAAGTATATCCAGGAAGGGAAGCTGGTCGTTCTTCTCCTCTTCACACGAGAGACTGATGTGGTTTTGAATAGTGTTAAGTTTATTCAATAAACAGTTCATATCCTCCTCGGGCGTGATTTGAAACTGTGATCTAAAGGTTGAAAACCGAATATTTCAACGACTAGCGGCCATCTAACTATTAGGCTAACGGTAAAGATGTCTTTTTATTTTATTGAGAAAGAACAATGATCTAAACCGAATTCCTCTTGTAAGGTTTTAGAGTTTTCCAAATAGTGAAACAGAAAGAATTATTACACAGCTGCAATGGTATGTATATTGTTATTACCAAGCATGGGGGAAGGAAATAGGTGAAGGATAAATAAAAGTGGAATAAACTGCACTTAAATGAATCGTCAAGGGGGATTCATGCACTGTCAATTAGTGAACTGAAAAACATGGAGTATTTAGGCAAGTCTTTTTTACTGAAAGGAAATTCCAGTATTAGGCCGTAATACCAGGAACAATTTTGTCAGAATCATTACTTTATCGTAGTAAATTATATAGAACAGGATAGGTTTGTTTACTAAAAGCAAACTAATCGAATAATTTTATCTCAACTTCGAAATTTTTGTCCGACTTAGATTAATGATAATAATAATGGTTAAATTATTATTTACTCGAATGATTTTCGATAACTTGGTCGATTCGAAAACAGATAGCCGTTTATTGAAGAACGGTGAGAACAACAAGGAAGAACTGATTACTTATTTCTCTACTTCAAAACCTTTGTCTAGTGTACGAACTCACTAAAATGAGACTAAACTCAGAGTCATCGCATGACGATTGTCAGGATCTAAAGATCCATCATTTAGATAGCCGCAACGTATTATCAGTTGTTTGTAATTTATACTATTAATAAAAGTTGTGAATTATTTTTTTTTGTTTTCTCAGTCAAATGTACTCTACTATCGTGTTTCAGTTTGGACCAAGTAGCTTTTATCTGCTGCTCCTTGCTACTAACGAATTTAACTGTCTGCATAACAGTGATTTGGGTATGCAAACGCAAGCAACAGTTAAAACAGCACCAACTTCAGTACACATTTAGTCAGAACCTACATTCGAAACAGCTGTTAAATGATTCACTGAGATGTCCCATTTTATCTGCTACTACACCACAAGAAGTTGGTGGGACACAGCAGCAACCAGTTTATCATGATGAGTTTGGGACGTGTTTGAACTATAAAGTGTACGATGAATTTGAACCATTTAGCCGTACTAATTGTCCAAAGTGTATGGCCTCCATGATAGATCAAACTAACTCCTTATTACCTTCTTATCAAACAACAAGAAGCATCAGTCAAGTATCAATGAAAGAATCATTAAAACAACCTTCAAATGAAGATCTCATATACCTTGATTTCTTTAATAGGCATTCAAATACAGCTCTCCAGAAATGCAGGGTACAACCAATATCGGGAGCATTGACAAACAGACCAACTCCTGAAAATTCTAACATTTAGTTTGAAGTCGGATTCATCGATAAGTCATACAAATGATGGTGAAATAGGACATTTTCACACTGATGAATAACTACATAATAACACCACGCTTTATAGCTGCAAACAAAATACTTATCAATATCCTTTGATCGTCACTATAATAAACATATTTCCGTCAAGAAATGTTTTCTCGTGAGTAAAAGTTTAATTATATTATCTACCCGAAAACAATATGGCTTAAATCTCCCGAAGTACCTAATCACTAAGTAATGCTCTTCATACTGCTCGACATGGTAGATTGTCGATGTGAGTAGTAAGACCTTTCAGATGCAGCACTGATTATCTTCAGACGAAACTGACTAATACACAGCATACTAAAGAAGTGTTTTATTACTAGCTTGATTAAAACGATTTCTGTAATCTAGATAATCAGTTGGTCGTAAACGTCACAAGACATGGTACACATGTTTATCAGTCCATATTGTCAGGCTTTGTCACCATATCAAGAAAAATTAACAAAGTGAGAACCACATGAGGAAATAAAAATATCAACTGTCGTAGGAAGCTAAATACAAGATATGTAGTTTAAGAATATAAGAGGCGACATAAAATCCGGAGTTTAGAGTAAGATAAAGAATGGATGCATCTAGGATCGATTTTAGACTGTCGATCAACACCAGCCACAAATGAATACCATTCCATTGAACAAGTCCGGAAGTATACCTATACGTCTTGATGTTATGCAGTTCAATACAAAATAATCCCATGAAGTGACTGTCATCGTACTCCCTCTAGTTTTCTCCAAACCTGCTACTTCGCTACCTGAGTGGTTGGAAGGCTCGTTAATTATCCTCACGTGCCAGCACTGAGGGGACGATAGAGACTTGGTCATTACATCAACTACCAGGTCTGAGAAATCTCTGACTCTAGCATCTACCGAGCCAAAACTCTAGTAAAGAGTCAGCTGATGACCGAAGCTAGAGTCCTGCGCATAAATGGTTGAGCTATTTCATGTGGTTACCAAGAGGACTTATACCTTTTCTTGGGAACCAGGATGATCAGTGACCGCATCCATTCTTGCGAAGTTGTTTATTTACCAAACACAAGCTAGCATCGTAACCTAACAATCGGAAATTGAACATCAAAACTAAGGGTCTCCACAATGGTTTAATGCGTCCCCTTTAACGGATAATTCTCCTATCCCCTCTTTAAATTGGAAGCACGATTTTACGCTAAGTCTGATGAGCAGTCCGCAGATAACTAATTGTGAATAAGACTACTTGATTTTTGGAAGTATTCTGCTCATTCTTCATGCTTTTTTGAAAGTATACTTTAGTTCCATCTTTTCCAAAGATAATTCCGCAAACTCCTGACTCGGTTCTATTCAGTGTCTAAACAGTTGTTTAACGTGACTTAATTGATTTGCTGGAACAAGCATAGAGTTCGGGTTGCATCGGATATACTTTAGTATTGGGAATCCCATTAAAGCATCAGCTCTTGTGAAATCAGTTCGTAGTCACGTCCCAAACCAGGTTCTCTACTATTGACTACTAAGGTTTCATTGAAGATCGAGAAACTTAATTCATACAACTTTGGTGACCGATAGGCTGCCAAAACACTAGACACTTAAGACAGGATGTGGTATCTATTCGTAGTCACTGACCCTCGAATTGCGGACTACTAAGTTGGAGCACCCGTGAGTCACGTTCAACAGTTTGAGGTTTTACATGACATGGCTTGAAATTGGTCAAGGTGGTAAAATATGTGCTTCTTTCCTCCCTCTAGATTTAAATTAGCAGTATCATTTCCTACACTTATCCGAATGATCAATTCCAGCTTTTTGAAACACATTCTACTTAATTGTTCTTACCATCATTGACACTATTACTGCTTCGCTCGTCACCTCAATTTTATCTCATTGTGATGATGCAGTGTGGATAATTCGTTAGACCAACCAGCACGAAGTCTTAAGTAGATAATTGATGAGTAATAATAACAATCCACAAAAGTCGATGAAAAACATGCTTGTGGGGTATGCCAACTTATAGTAGCACGCATACGTTCCAAGCTGTGTCGGCTATGATCTGGTTAAATGTTTTGCTAACAAATCCTAATGTTTTTACCGGGGGGGATTGTGTTGATTAAAAAGGGACTGTTCTTTAAAACCAGGATTCCCGAGCCTGTTTTCGTTACATGTGACTTTATAAATCATAGTCGCTAACTATTGATAGCTACGTTATGTAGTGTCATGTACTTAAAAATTAATATTGCATCGTTGGTCATTAAAAATAATTGAAAGTACTATGCGGACCAAGCGTCACAATTTACACCGATGTCCAGTGGAGTATATTGGAATATAGGATCATTCACGATAACAATCATGAGAAACACTACTAGTCGCAGGTTTAAATTCCAGAAATTATACGTTTGAACATCCAAAATATTATTAAAAGTATGATAGAACAAGCACAATATAGCTAGAGTCAGGAAATTAAGTACCTGAATACAACAGTAATGTAAAGGAAACAAAACAGTTTTAATATCTAACATATAGTTGGAGACAAATACCAAGAGAATGAATGATCCTTTAAAATAGAATTAAGTAGAAACACAACTAAATCTTTTATATACCCTTGAGAGAGACTAGAAGACTACCAACCAAAGCGCGTTTCTGAAAATAAATGAACATGACGATTCAGTGAAATCTTTCTACGACAATAAATAGTGCAATGATATTAGTAACATTGAGGAACAAAGTAATTCGAAAATATCACGTTCGGTGCAGTAATCCTGTTAGATAAAAATAAAAATATCTGGAGTGAATAAGTATTCCCAACAGAAAAGGTCGCGTTTATAATATTTCATGGTATTCTGAGTAAATAAAGTAAGGGTTTATAAACCATATGCCTTCCACATCATAAGTTCGAAATAGGAATCCGAATCTATCGACGCACTAACACCGCTGTAGTAATTCAGAAATTCTTCCCAGGTGACCTGAAATAGTGCAATTAAAAATATTTCAGTAAATTCACATTAAAAAGTTATTGTTATGTGGGCATTCATATTTGCAAAGTATTCCATAACAAAACTACATAAAAATCACATTAGGTTGATGGTAATGTAGACTACGTGTTTGCTCACAATTACTATAACATGTTTAATGCTTCTTGAAACAAAAATATGGTATGACGAGGACGCAAAGTGGTCCTAGAAACAAGCATGTGAGTTTTAAGAACCACCTCTCAAACCTCTAACTGACTAATGATGATGAACGGAAGACAACAATAGTGTTCATTCTAATGACAGTCGATGAATACAAATTCAGCACATTATGTTTTTAATTTGAAATTAAGGTTTCCAAAATATACCGAAGTTCTAGCAATCAGGTTTACTGACAGTAATTTGGAAGATAATAACCACAAATATGCTATTATTTCCTTTGTACTTAAAGACCTGTGTAAGTAAGAAGACCATAAACTAAGATAATCTTTTGGTCGTATTAGTGCTAAATAACACATTAATAGAATGCCACCCTATGAAGAGTTATGAATGTTACTTTACCCTGGAAACTATCAGTGAATATCTTTACAGGTTGGAAGAAGTAGAGATCATGTACTAAACGATATTCGTTTCTCGAAGTAACAACCGTACATATCGTTCGAACCATGCAACGAAATATGCTTTTAATATTTGGGTATTGTTCTCAAAAACAGTACTTGTGAGTTGATTACAGCTCGTTTCAACAGTGCACCAAGAAGTATGTTACACTAGACAAAGTAGCATCAGTTTTTTTTAAAAACGGAATCGGAAAAATCATAGCATTAAGGGATGTTGGTGCATTTCTATTTTTTATAAAGACTATAATAGAGAACGTAGTAAGATCACAGTTGGGATATATTTCGACTTGTGCCCAGTACCAGTTAAAGCCACTAAATAGCACGATTGCCAGAAATCTACGGGCCTGTAAGAACTCAAGGTTGTCAATAAAGTTGTAATTTCCCTTCCAGAGCATTAAAATGAACTTTGCATTTTCAGCAAAAGAGCAAAGCTCCTATTGTCAGATACACTCAACATTTGCCAACACAGCGAGACTAATATCGTGTCACAAGTAGTACACGTTAACGAATGTTCCTTTGGCTTTTGCTGCACAATGATCAACATTGCATACCATAACGACACCCGATAACTGGTCACATAAGTTAATGAGCAGATACCGATGACATCTGGAATGAAAATGAAACTATCGAGACTAGAGAAACTAATACTATCAACAACAAGGTTTGGTGAGTTACGATACATACGATGTTGTTTAAACATTCGAAAAAAAGATATGATTACTTCATCGGCTATGTATAATTTCTTTACTATCACCAATATACTATTACTTCACATGCTACACTTTTATCTCACTATGCTATGGTGTGGTAACTAGGTTCTCCCAACTAGTATATTTGTTCCTCAATGTTGCTTCAGTTCTTTTTTGAGATCCTTTGGGATGAACAACAATAACATCATTCTAGAGTGATTAGACACTCAGTTGATTAGTTTTCAGTAGTTGTTTCCAGATTACCTCTACGTACGGCGTGATAAATTCTATCTGCGTGAATTTACTGGAGCAAGTGGCTAGTCAAATACTGTGTCCAGTGTTTTGGGTGAATTTGTAGGTTTACAACTGGTGCACTATCAACCCCAGACTGCAGCGCTGACATAAAATATATTCCAAAAATCTACGAAAGAATTACCGTCTTGGCAATAATAAATAACTTTTGACCAAATCGGCTTCTTTTCAACCGCTCTCAACCAGGAATTATCTTGCTCGTAAGATCAAACCTTCGGGAAACCAAAAAATTTAAAAACACCTTAAGTGGTACCTAAGTGTTATAACTACAGTTAATATTATGGAAAACAATCTTTCCTAAGTTTACCAACAAAAAACCTATTCAGTTAACGGTAAAACTATAAGCCAAGATGTCATAGTAAAAAGATCGTTTTATCGATGTTCACAAGACTGTCGCGCGACTAATAGTACCAAAGTATATTTCAGGGTGTAAACATCAGATTAGTGATGGTGAATATACGATTAATTTCACGAGATAGGTCTTGTTTGGTCTCTTATCACACTAGTAACCTTGATTACAAGGTATAATACAACTTAAACTGAATGGACAAGATAACAGACTCTAAACTTATCACAGAGATACAAAAGATTGCAAACGTTTAGTAAGATTTAATGATTTCAATAAACGTGCACAAACCAAATTACTTACGACACCATCCACAGACTTCTCGTTTTCAAACGTTTTTAGGAACTCTCTTAGAACTTGGTCTTCAGTCGCTCTCCCAGATATGTACTTGGCATCATATTTAACTTGATACACGTTCCGTAGATCATCCAACTGAAAGGGAGTTGTTGAAAAGTCACTCAAGTATTGTTTTCGAACTCCACATACTAAACTGAGACTACTTATTTTGCCGTGGCCTCATTTAAAAGACTCTTACAAGTGATAACATTACTAGACTTACTACCGTTTCCACGTATAGTGCCGAAGCCATACCTGTAGTAATTCTTGGCTAGTGAGGCGTGAAACGAAACAACACTTGGATCTCTATTTGAGATAGAAAGCACAAAAAGTCAGTATTTGACTACGTATAGTGGGCGTAGTAAAATACGTAGATGTTATCCAGATAAATTTAATAGTGTCACCTAATACCTAGAAAGTAACAAGCTGATGTTCAGCCAAATATAGGTTTGCTTAGCCCCGGAACCACGGTCGTATTACAGTCTTCAGTAATAAGGATAGCAGGTTGATGAACCTGTGTTAATCCTGACAAATTTCCTTCCAGTGAAGGTCCAGCTTCTTTTTGAAAATGTCCACTGATGGTGTTGATACTACTTGTTCTGGTAAAGTGTTCCAATCATTGACCACTCGATGAGAAAAACGGGACCCCACCTTTATTTTAATAGATCGCGGTTTCAGAACTTTCTTGCTATGACCCCGGAGATTATTAGTGTTGGTGGGAGCAAAAAGATAAGACATATTAACACCCAGTTCATAATTAAAGATACGAAATGCCAGTATAAGGTCACCTCGCGTCCTACGATAAGATAAGGGGAAAAGATTTAGACGTTTTAAACGCTCATCGTAAGGGAGTTTTGAAAGACCCTTTACTAATTTTGTCCCTACACGCTGGATACGCTCAAGCGATTTAGTATCCTTTATCAAAAGTTAATTGGTTATTACTTTTTAATTGGAAAGGAAAATGTATGATTTGAACATTTTCTCGTAGATTAGGCCTTAATGATCCTAATAGACAAGGCATTTACCACAAAAATTTTTCATTGAAGAAACATATCCCGTGTTTTGTACGATTATTCACGCTTTTTATGATACTACCATAGCTTAATTACCGTGATTTTCCCGTCCCCAGTTTTGTCCATTTTAGCGAATGCCTTCCTAACAACTTCTGTTCGTGAATTCGACATTGGTGGCTAAAAAAATAACTGCAGTATTTAGCAAACCTACCCTTAAAGCACGTAAAAATTCGTCGAAAATTATTGTCCCACTGCCATCTTTATCTACCCTATTGAAAAGCACGTCAACCTCCTCTGGAGTCAAGTTGCAGCCGAAATCATGGCAGCCCTTCTTGAATTCTTCTTTAGATAAAGACTTGCTTCCATCGTCATCCATGATACGAAATTGTTTTCCAAATCCATAGATACCGTTCGCTCCACGTAGTAAGCATTGACATCTGAGTTTTTCCAGCGGGTCCTTAGTAGAAGTGAGTACTTTACGGACGTTTGATTGCAAGTCACGGATGTCCACCTCGCTAGCGGCCATATTCAGTCGAAAGACAAATATGCGCGTTTATGACTACTACTTTATTATTTACCATTATATGCATTATAACACAAAAGTTCAATGAACAGTGTCCGTTTCCATTGGTTTTATTTGTTGCGGAAATACTTGATGACCTTTTACTCCAACAAGGGCATTTGTTTAGAAGAAATGAATCAATAACACTGGGGCTATAGACAGATTTTTGATGCAAAAGCATCAGTTTCCGTCTTCGAAGAACGGAAAGTGACTCATTTTTGTCCTGGTGATAGAGTCTCTCAGTTGATACTACTTCCCTTTGAACGTACTCACAGATGGGGCCACTATCATATGTCTATATGAGGAGCTTCAATTGTTGATTCGACTTGGAAGTCGGTAGTCAGTTAACAATAATTAATTCTGGGCTTGTGAGCTTTTTTGAAGTTGTCTTGTAAATTCCCTGTCATGCATGACAAAAAGAGAATTAAGACATGCCAGATGCATAACCATTAGTAAGTAGTCGATAAGCTGTAGTCGAGTCACATATATTGCTTCTGTAGGGTCACTGAATATCGAACAAATCACTGACCCTTGTCAAGGTCAAGGATAGTCAACGCGCACAAACCAATCGTACGCCATGGACTGGCCCACGCTGCAGTGGTTATTCTTTCACTTCTGTACTTCCGTAGTTGTACCTTAACTAATATATTCTTGTAATAACGTCCTTTGTGTTGTACAGTCTCCATAGCATCTATTATCCTTTGATGCGTCGATGGTTCAATTCAAGTAAGGGCTGGTCGCGAGGTGTGACTTCAGCGTTAATTGGTTCGTCCCCATTCTCGTCTAACTATAGTAGGCCCCCGATCATTTTGACATAGATCATCAACGTAGATGGTCTTACACTGGTGAGCAAGACTTCGAATAACGCAACCTATCATGATCTTTTTTTATTGCATTCTATACTTACAATTTTTCATTTTTAACTTCGGCTATCTCTATCAGTTTCTGTGAACATTCGTTGCTTCATATCACTGTTGATTAGTATTTCAACTGAAATAATTAGTTCAATCGATAGAACTAACCAAACAACTACGACTATCGTGGTTCTTTAACAAGCATTAGCAGCATGTAAATGCTCCTGTGTAATATGTCTGTTAAAATATCAACCACTCGTATGTATGGCCTGAAGACAACACGGACGCATATCTGTTTGCAACTTATCCACTTGTATAACCAATACAGGATAAACTGCCGATTATTAAATTCATCTTTCTGCTTATTCACTGTCAACTAACTACTAACAAAAACTATCTACTAGAATATTTTACTTTCTTGACCACTGCATGCCTAATTTCCAATTGCTGAGTTCCATGGCGAATCAGAGGATACAAATGCTAGAAATTTACGGTGAGTTTGAACCATAAATTTCCTGCAATGTTATATCTTGTTTAGACTTTCGCCAGGCAAGGCTACGTGTTTGGCTCAAATTAAATTTGGACGTATACCATTTCAGTCTACAACGCTTCGTTAATCTACGAATTTCATCAGCAGATTTCAATTACTTGGGAGCAAGAGTAATCCAGGCGAGATTCATAACCGTTAAATAATTTCGTATAATGTTTATGATGTCTAAACATTTCGCGGCTACTTTCACTTAGACATACATTCTGTCCCTGCCATCAAATTTTTGTCGAAACTACGTATATTTATGACTCGTAAGTCAACATACTCTGAAAAAACTTTTTTTATGTACACGAGCAATCTTAGTCCATGTCTTAATGAGACACTTCGTCGTACTTGATGTCACTTAGAGCTAGATAATATGCTTTATTTTTACGAAACGACCCAAACAACCAATAAAGGGGAAATAAAGGCGAACAAAGGGGAAATAAAGCGGAAAATGCATTGGAAAATAAGTCGTAAGTAAAGGGGAAATGCATCGAAATGTCTGCTTTTTCGCCTGTCCGGGGGAAATAAAGCGTAATTTCCCCTTTCTGTCGCTCTGTTTTTCAAATGTCGCTAAATTACCGATTTCTCCCCTAAATATCCGACGAATAACCGACTTTTCCCCTAAATATCCGACGAATAACCGACTTTTCCCCTAAATATCCGACGAATAGCCGTCTTCTCCCCTAAATATCCGACGAATAACCGACTTCTCCCCTAAATATCCGACGAATAGCCGACTTATAACTTCAACATCCGCTACATTCACTGCTTTACCACTACATACACACTAATGCATTTAAAGCAACCGCCTCCTGTGTTCGCTTTCATTCCCACAACACAGCACACGAATTATGTAAAGTACGTAAAATATGGTATAATTTGCAAATTTTTATTGAAAACAAAAAGTTCTTCAATGTACAAAGTAATGAGCAGTTGGCAGATGGTAGAGTATCAATGCTCCATATGTAATTGTCATCGTCACGGACCAGGCATTTCACGTATTCTTTATCTCCACCAGGCCTGTTGTACTATGGAAAGTCAAACAGTTCTTGTGAATTCTAAAATGTGATAAAGAAAAACGTTATTGAATCTAGGAAACTTGTTTTGCACAACAAGGTACTTAGAGCTGGACTTACGGTTATATCCTTGATTACGAAAGACTGTTCCTATACATAATGCAAAAACAGTAATCACTTTAAAGCCGTACATACGTGTTCCTTGTTACGTCGATGACGCTTCTGGACTTTGTCTCTCATGTCTGTAGGGAATGCACATTATATACCAAGTTCTCACTTCTGTAACACCATTCATATTCTCTTAGAAAATTCCTTAAATCCATCCTATCAGATTCTGTAACCCTATTATAAAACTTAGGATGTGCAAGCAAGTACATAGACAAAGCAAGACACTTAAAATTTATATACAAAGGTTTAGGCAGAATATTTTGGAGAATAACCGGGCCTAAGTATAGAAGAAACAACCTACACTCTGTCGCTTTCCATACAGATAAGTAGTCTAATGTTCGACATTTACGCGGAAAGTCGGAAGGAGTGCTTTCTACGCACCTAGATATCAACTTATTTATGGTCCTAATTACACATGAGTTCATGTTCTTTAGTCTCTTGTGTCCTAATTCTATCCAGAGAGTCACAAGTTTCTTTGTGACACCTAAGTAAACCATGTGCATGGGATCTAAGGGGAAAGTTAATATCATGTCTATTGGTAGACTTTCGAATAAAGAATGACCTTTATGGTGAATATATTGTGTTTGATTCCTGAAAGTGTCGTCCGTTCTTAATGTATATTCACCGTTTGGGAAAGTCATCGTTCCATCAAGTCGTCTACCGTTAACCACGCACCGGTCGCAACCTACTTTGGCGTTGTGATTAACAGTGTACCTAACATCCGAACGAGCCGGTGCATCACATATAACTGCACTTAACTTAATAGCTATGTATTTATTGAACCTTACACTTAGTAGACCCGTTTCAGTCATTTCTTTTATTTCAGAAATAGTGTCGGCAGAAATTTCGTTGAATTGTGCTGGCTTAGTATTCCCTCCGTAGATCCCTATCATGAAGACATCACTAAGTCTGGGTGCAACGATCCTTCCTAATACAGGCCACAAATGTTGACTGGAGCTCCTGGACATAGAAAGGCCATCTACATTAATATATAATTGCAGACTGTCAAAATCGCAAGTACACAACCACAGTTCTACATATCTAAGGAGGCTAGTTTTCAATCCAAGATGGTAGTAAACCCCGCTGCTGATGGACTTAGGTTGTACACTTGTGCATGTTCTCAAGATACTTCTAATGCTCGTTGGCAAGTCTGGTACGATAAGGCGAAATTCATTCAAAACCCTGTCTGCATCCCGGATACTCAGATAGGTGGATGTCATTAAATGCATTAGTATCCTGTTAATCTTCTCTTTGCGACTCAAAGGCTTTTGACAGGGTAAATCGACGGTAGAACATTCTATAATAAATTTATTAGCGTATGAACTTCAAACACGTACCATTATCTTCCAGAAGCCTTTCATTGGTACAGCTTGTGGAAGGTAATACAGTTGAAGGAATCTCATGACAATTATTTTCTCTGTCAACTGACATAGTTTATACATATATAGTTGCTAAAGTCAGTTACCTGTAGTTGTGCTTTCATTAGCAAAGTTACAAAACGAAAGCAAGTCATGTCTCCTCAGAAAATCAGTACGTAATTTATTCCAACGTCTGTTATAAGTAGTTCTATGACATCCGAGGACTCTTGACAAGTTCACGGTTGCCCTACGTCTACGAGCTCTATCACTGAATTCGCATAAACTCATGTTATTAGACTAACAACATAAACAGTTAGAAGGAACTAAAAACACAGAGCACGTCACTCACTTGCATCGTGTAAATAATTTGTGATGGCGGCCAACCATGTCGGAACACCTTAGCTAAACAACAGAGAAAGTAAGTACAAACGCATCACATACAAAAGCCTGTGTCCGTATTTTATTGCATGAGTAATAATGATGAAATTCATAAATTTAATGTAATAATTCGTTATTTTTGACATACTCAGCAAAATGTTGTTCCTTATTGCGGTTCATTCAAATGTTATACGTTACGACAAATTGTCTACAAATATCCCCCAAATATACGACGTAAGGGGGAAAAAGCGACTTTTCCCCTAAATAACCGACGTGCAGGCGAAAAAGCGACATTTCCCCTTTATTTACGCTTTCGTCCGCTTTATTTCCCCTTTATTGGTTGTTTGGGGATCACGTTATCTAAACCTAAACTTTAGTTACATTGGTGGTTACCATTTAAGTTATTGTTTACTATGCGCTTTGTATTTGCTGTTATCTCACACAGTAAATCATGGCTCGATTTCCTTATTGTACGAAAGTCACTTCAATTCCGTCTTCGGCTTATTCACATGCAATACGGGTTTGGAAAATATCTAAGCGTCTTCTGAAATTCTCCACAAACCCCACGATAGTCTTCGTACATGTTTGCTATTACACATCCAATTGCTATATTAACGATGCCAAAACGAACGTTCAGTACAATTGTCAGTATACGAAATGATATTACTTCGATGTGACATTACAACACATCCGAACTATTGTAGTTATTCAACTTCGACGTCGTATTTTTATGTTATGAAGTATTGTTTCCGCGTGGCTGTTATCTAACAGATGATTTCGGTACATCAATCGGCTGTTCAACTACTCGACGATCTAAAGCCTGTCCAGTTCAATTGGTGGTTTGACGACACTCATTCACGCGAATCATCGGTTTACGCAGTCGAGCGCATCTCCTGCAAACTGACAACGATATTGTCGTCTCGACCCCAACACTGACAGCATTTTTCACCGATATCATTGACATGAGTCCAGAGTGACACTCTTGGTTTCTTATGTTCTTTTCGACATTTTTCGGTTCACTCATCAAACACATGTGCAGCACCCACTGTTTATCATCTTTCAGAGATTTCATCGTGCCACCTATCGCTCTCGATCTGTATTTCTTCGACCCTTATTGATTTTCACAGCAGTTATCAGTTTTTCCAAACTGGCTGCAAGTTGATCAGAAGCTTCGCACAAGGAAACCACGATTTATCTTCACGGCTATACTTCTGTACTTACAGTTAGTCTGTTAAATATAGATATAACTAAAAATCGACGCTTACGAACAGTTGTCAGCGACACTTACTGACTTTCCACTTTGTACCAAGGGCAGTACAAACATTGGCATCGATTGACAATACACTTATCGTACTATCACTATGACATCACTACTCTTGCGACAAACTTACCATTTCTCATCTGAGGAACTCAACCACTTGTCAGAGCTATATTTTTCAACGCGACTTGATAAAACTCCAAAATGTTTCTTTTTCTATTATTTCTATGGTTGATCGCTTAACATTCAACCAACGTCTTTGTTACGTGTTATTACTCGTTGTTTCCCGATCAGTTTCTGCAGCCTCCTTTCCATTTCTTTCACAGCTCGGCAATACCCAGATGATTCATATTAATCGTCCGGCAACCTCCGTCGCTCGACTACTCCCAACTTGTTTGGTATAGATTCAAACGGCCGTTGAATCTGGTGGGGGAGTATTGTAGGGTCACTGAATATCGAACAAATCACTGACCCTTGTCAAGGTCAAGGATAGTCAACGCGCACAAACCAATCGTACGCCATGGACTGGCCCACGCTGCAGTGGTTATTCTTTCACTTCTGTACTTCCGTAGTTGTACCTTAACTAATATATTCTTGTAATAACGTCCTTTGTGTTGTACAGTCTCCATAGCATCTATTATCCTTTGATGCGTCGATGATTCAATTCAAGTAAGGGCTGGTCGCGAGGTGTGACTTCAGCGTTAATTGGTTCGTCCCCATTCTCGTCTAACTATAGTAGGCCCCCGATCATTTTGACATAGATCATCAACGTAGATGGTCTTACACTTCGATGGGACCAGGAGAATAGGTTAAGTATAGTCGGTCTTCCTTCATATGACAGCTTTGAAATTCTGGAAATAAACCGAGTTGCTTTATTTTGAACCTTTTACATTATCCCACTGTCTTCCTGAGGCAAAATTAGCTGCTTGTATTCACTGCCCTAGTTTTGGATGAACAAACGCTGTGCAAAAGGGTCATAACGTCTATTTGCTTAAAGGCTTGAAGGGTTTCTAAAATTTCAGCAGTGGTTTTTATGTCCTAGTCAACACTTACCCTAAGTCAGTGTGTGTTTGGTTGACAGCTAGTTCAACGTTATTTATCGTGTGTGTTTCCGTACCTTTGTAATCAATATACATCATTATGTAGTTGGAGGTATTTATCGGCAACTGCCGAATGCCATGTTATTCAGCTGGTTCCCATCGGTTGTTTGAAAGCTATAATCTGCCGGCATTTTTTACCCCTCTCCATACCTTGATGCAGTCAAAATGTAAGAAAACCGAAGATGACGGGTGACTTCGATGGTTCTTTATACATAAATGAAATAATACTGGTCTCATGACTGTACTTTTAGGTACTCCACTGAGCACTGTCTTCCAGCTGGACACTTTGGAGACAGAGTGAGTGATTGTTAAGACCGGTTGCCTAGCCGAAATCAGCAAGAATAGGTCAATATTTTTGTAATGTAGATAATGTTTAAATCACAAATATCTAATAAAGGCAAAAAAACAAACACACAGACTAGTCACAGATGGCACACATTAGCTCAACTATAGAAGTCATTGTAAAAAGAGGAATATGAAATCGTCACCGAATATTTGATCAAGTTGAAATGACTCATTTAATTAATGGTGGTGTTTGACGATAATCATACTGCACAAAGGTGCAACAAGAACCAAAACAAGTAGGAAATAAATCACACTACTTCAAACAATCTTGTCAGAAAAATCGGACTATCTGAAGCCTAAAATCAAACACGCTCATGACTGATAAAAAGTAGGAATGTCTTTGCCTGGAAGTGATCTAGAAACAGATAGTAAGAGACAAAAGCAGTTTGAAGTATTGATTTCTGTATATCTAGACTGCTCCATTTGATGAGAGAGTTCAGGAAATATGTAAATCTTCGACTAATGAGTACTCGAAAGAACGATGATATCGGTTATTAAATAGGATCTGGTACCACATCAGCCAGAACCAAAGGAAAGATATGTCATGGCATTGGGTCGTGACCACATAATCCTCAAAGCTGAACACGAGACAACTGGGAAAATAGATATTCAACATTTAACGTGGAGGAAAACTCAACAAAGGAGAAGGAGGGAAGAGAGAATTCAATTGAATCCAATCGTATGGCATGACTCAGCCTTACAGGCTTGTTCTTACTGAACACGACAAATCCACAATTTTAAGATTCGTTCTACCATAAGGGCAGTACTAATAACGAAATAGACCATAATTCTACAGACATGTCAAGAATAAATTCCAGTTCACCTAGGATTGGTAGAATTTTGAAAAAATGTTGAGCAATCCCGTCGGAAATGAATTGAATAGGAAGAAGGAAGGCTAAAACTGGAGAAACTGTCATTCAATTATCCAAATATAATTAGACAGCACACCAAATTCTACTAAGCGACTGCAGAATTATCAAAGTATTTGAGGCTAATTTTAATGAACAGTAGTAGTAGTACTTTTCGTTGCATCACTCCATGCACTTCAGAACTATGATCTGGAACAGTCACCACTCAATGATGACTGCTCGACTACCACGACTGAGAAAGGCCGAATTTCAAAGATTGTCAAAAGTTTCAGTATTAGGCCAATACTGAACTAGTACCCGTGCGACAATTCAATTTTCAAGGAGTCAAGGCTTGAAAGTCAATGCTACCAAAGATTATGTGCATAAATTGTTTTATCTAAGAATTTGTACACTGATTCTCATAGTGGATGAACTGTTTTATAAATCGGCGTTAACAGTCGACAAGTTAAAAACACATTTATTGTGCTTGAAATTGAAAATCAGTTAGCTCATGCCGAGTTCCAGTTGTTAAGGACAACAACATTAGCATTGCGAAATCTTTCTCAGCTGCTATCGTACTTCTACGTTATGCGACGTTAAAAATTTAAAATAATTGTGAATGCACCCTAAAGGCAATTTATTGATTCCTCAACTTAGTGGAATGGGTTTCTTCCTGAAGATACCACAGGTATTTGGAGTTTGACAACGTTTCAACCAGTAACACCTATTATGAATCCTACCCATCGAGTGAAACCAAAAGACAGAAGTGAGGCGTTTCGAAGATATATTTGATAGGTTAGCAGTATGTCGTGGATCGACTGATCCAATCTGGCTGGCGATTGGAGGGGATGTTGAGCACGGCGTTTCCACTAGTGATCTGGTGCGGATGCATGACCGAGCGCCTTCAGCCAGGTGAGTCTATTAAAACCAATGTTGTCAGCATGCAATGTCGAAGACTTACAGATCTATTTATTTTGGGGATTTATTTACCTCTGCACTACCATTGACATTTTAGGTATCACAACGTCCGTGATATTTCATTGTTCTGGCGTGTCTAGAACAGATTTTCTAAGGGTAGCATCCTCACCAAACGTTGATTTCCACCCAGCAATACACTAGAAGTAGACTCATTATTCGGTTGAATAGAAATAATTTGAATGAAATATATATTATCACAAAATCAGTATTTATTGACAAGGATACTGAAACTGTGAAAAAACAACGATATTGACTTAAAATGTTTATGTTTTGTCTTCATATTTGCGACATGACTTGGCTTTCACCATTTCGTACTACTTTTATGTGAAAAACAGATTAACATGGGAGATATAAACTCTCTCTAGGGTTGTAATCGTTACATATCTGCATCGGACGATAATTAATACCGGGCTGTGAACATCACGAACCCTGTTTATGTGTGTACGCAACCAACTCATTATATTACAGAAAATAAGTCAGATTCATGTGCTAAAGTTCATGTGTGACCTGCGTATGATAACAGTTAGCGGTTTTTAGTCAATACTCATCTTATGTCATCACTACATTTACAACATGAAAGGTTTCTTTTTCATCACATCAATATAAGTAAGTCAGTTAGATGTCACAGATTTTTTACACTTTTTATAGATGTTAGTAATATATTTCTGCCGATGCAAGTGCACGCCATTTTTACAGTCATGACCTACAAGTTACAACATTTATTTGCTTCAAGTATGCTTCCCAAGTAAGGTCGTTAAATAGGTA